CAATGTTTTCAATGCGATGGTTGACTTTGGTGCTTACTGGCTAAGGCTCTTACTCTAGGTCCTATGCTTCTTGGAAGTAATTGTAAATCACCTTGTTTTGTAATTTGCAGGCGGTTTCTTTGTTTAATAAGTTCTGTAACTTTCAGAAATTTCCTTTTGTAGCCAATATTGGATAATTTTTGAAAATCTGAAAAAAATGGATACATGCCCACTACCACATGAGTATGTTCACCGCTCTCCAAATGAAAAAATAAAAAAAAACTCCCAGTGCCCTCTTTCAACATATAAGAGCTCACAAGGGGGTGCTATCAACCACTTTGGAAAACACTGTACTAATGCATTTGTTTACATGTTTTGAGTAAAGACGAAAATAAACACAATGTCAGTCAATCATCAAGTGACAAGAAATGGTGTCTGAGTCAGATGATCTGTGTATCCATCCAGTTAATAAATTAATCCTTTCAAAATAAATATTGAACATTTTTCAACCAATGGGTCACATTCCCACCAACAATAAAAACATGCTTCATGATCCCTTTGAAGGTTATGTAAGCAAAGTTTCTAAAGGGACAAATGTGTAAAGAGAGACAGATGGCAAGAGTTTCATGATGCTTGATTTAAAAGAAATACATTTACTCATTCACCCATCTTCCTCAACAAGCTACGTGACACTTACACTTTCATCCTCACTTTCTCCCTTGCCTTTTCTTTCTCACGCATACACGCAAAGAAATCATATTTCTTTATATCCTAACAAACAACTACAAACAAATTTACCACTCATAGATACTAAGAAAAATTTAGTTGTAAAAAACATAAAAAATATCTTATATTTTTATGTTTAAACCTCTTTTCTTTTGTTATGGGTTGATTCAAATCCATAATTTATTGTCAGTGATTCCAGAGATAACAAATTCACAGCTGTATTCAGCTACTAAATATCAAGACCAAAGAAACTCTCCATTCAGATACAACAGCGATACAGCAAGACTTCTTTCAAAGTGAAGTACTGTTTCTCTTACTATTCCATTTTTTATAACTTTTTGTGTGGCTGCCACCATACACTTTTAGTAGAATCAGCAGGTTTGTTTTCACCAACCCCACCCTGTATCTGAGACTACCAGTGACCTGGTTACTCTTAGGTCATTTTTGCCAAACAAAATAGTTCCATCGTTTTATGATTTCTAGAAAGAAATTAATAGAAATATTATATAGTCAGGATAAAAAAATCAGATAATCTAAAAGGGGTGTTTTTAAGTACACTAAAGAACCAATGATATAAATGACTGAAAGGTTAGCAGGTCCTGTGATTCTACTGCCCAGGAATTTGGTCCCTACGCAAGAGTGTTGCAGAAAATTTCCTTTGGACCTTTTCAGACAGAAACCTTGAAACAGTCAGACCTGTTTTTTCATCATGCTCAGTTCATTCAATACTGATGCTATAAGCCAAATTGTTTTGCCCACATAGTGACAACAAGGTAAATGCTGTTAAGTTTTCTCAAATTGTACTTTTTAGCTTTAAACCAAGTATTTCTTATAGATTATACATATTTTATGCATTTAAAGTAAATAAGTTCAAATGCCCTAAAAATCATTTTAAATGTATAATTCATTATTTTTCGTAAATCAAAAAATAATTAAAGTTAAATGTTAGCCTTTGCAGAATTTTTATCGGCATAATATTTTTCCTGCTGATTTTACATGTTTAGTAAAAAACATGCTTCATCAGAAGTTCTTTGTTCTGTGTAATCTGTTGTCGCTATGTCTTTGTAAAGTTTGTTGTTGTTTCTTTATAAATGTTTGCCTTTGCATCCCTATGTACATTTTCTCCATTGTTCTTATGCAAACCCTTTTGTCTTAATTGCAGTTTTCACAGCTGCATATGTATCTGATGGAATAAAATATCCTTCAACATAATTTGTGCAGTTTGTCAGTTCTCTCAAACATTTGAACAGGGCAACAGCGATTACATAGTGTATTTACCCTCGTTAAGTAAATGAAGAATATCAAATACTAATGCTAATTACCTATGTACCTGTTTCTTTCTACCTGGGTAATATTGTTTTTCTTTAAAACAGTATTTTTGCATCTCAAGATTAATTTATGTTGTGTTATTTGTAATGGAAAGGAAATTTTTTCATTTTTTACAATATACATGATGCAATCTTTTTTCCTTATTTCATATCTTATTAATGGCCAAAAAATGCATATTTTCAGCACACAATGCACTAACATTGTATAGGCTTGAGATAATAGTATGTTTTTTGCAATAAACTTTCTATGATTCTTGACCCGTGCCTCTTGTGTCATGTGTATGGCTATTGTTATTACTCTTCATCTTGGTTTTCTGTTGTAGGATTTATTTTAATCATTCTTTCCCAATAAATTATAGTCGATAAGTCCATCTAAGGAGATATTTTTTTTTTATTGATATTTAGTTTGTAGTGACTACTACTATGTTGCCACACCTACATTTCTTCAACTGTGATTGGTCAATTAATATATACTAAAAATAATAGGACAATTTACTGATCACATTTCACCACACTGAAATTTTTTCCTACAGTTTGCTCACAAACAAGTTTTGCTTTAAAATCACTGATTGGTTCATTTTTCATCCAATTGAATATTTTTCGTATTCCTTCAAAAATTTATCCTGTGTTTGTGCTGGGAGCCACCGATAGTAATATAAATCCGGATACATTCCCAAATCAACCAGTAGTACCAGTACCACAGTAGAGTACAGAACAGAGACAGTAGATCTCGACTACTCACACGTATTATTCATTCTACTCACTCCGCACGCACATACACACAGATACAGAACTTGAATTTGATACATCATCAGTTCTCTGTGAACAAACCAAGTTGAAACAACTCTGTTAGTTACAAACACACAACTGTACAATCTTCTGAAGATACATTCTATTTTAACACAGAACTCTGAACTTTATACTCAGAAAAACTTGCTTAAAAACATTTCCTAAATTGACTAACAGATAAAGGGAAACTACTTTTTTCTCCCTATTCACACATTATACAAACTACCCTGTGTGTGTTGTTGATTTTAATGTATATGTTTATTCGTTGAAACAAATTGGTTCTTAATTGTTTTTCCTTGATGTTTTAAAATATGTATGAATGCTAAATGCTTATTCAACACACAGCCACATTGATCCTTTCAGCCAAACACCAACTACATTGGTAACTTCAACACTAAACTAAGCAAGCATCCTACAAGTTCATAGGTGGAATTTAAAACAGTATTTCTCGAACATCTCTTTTATAATGTCATTAATTGTTTTAGTTTACATGGAAATATTTAAGCATAAGAAAAATTATTACACATTATATGTTGCTCTCACATGATTTGCTGCATTTAGTTGTATTTGATTTAGTTTTCCAAAAAATAACATTTAAAAAAAATTGATGATACAATCTATTTAAAACAAATTTTTTTTTCTCATTCTGATGATGTCTCATGTGAGTAGAAAGCTTGGGACTACACAGCATGAATTTTGGCCAAATTATCAACACACAACAGCTACATTTGTGAGAAGATATTTGTCACTATATCATGCTGGGAGGAAAGAGAAAAAGAAACAGGAAGTGTCATGTTTTTATGGATGTTTAACAATGCAGCCTAATAGCGTCTTGGCAAACCAAGTGGGGGTAATCCCACATACACATCAGGCTCAAATTTATGGATAAACTTTCCAAAGTTTCAGTCATTATCAGGATCTTAATGTTGTTAGTACCAGTGAGAAAAGTTACAGAAAGTTATCTCTGAAGAACATTTTCCTAAATAATTAATATTTAATAAACAGTTAAGTGTTTGTGAGGGTGTAATTTTGGTAATATTTCCTAATTTATTCATGTTATCATCAATATGTATATATATATTGGGATCTTTTCTGTTAATTCACCTCAAAATAAAAAGAATTTATATTTATTAAAATTCACACCAAATTCTCCCAGAGTAAGGGCTTTCCATTGCACTCTGATTGGGTTGACCTTTGCGATTGCCCCAGTTGTGGGCGACTTGTGTGCGCTATTTCTAAAGGTGGAGTCTCCATTTGCACCCCCCTGATAAACAAGCCAAAAACATATTTTTTCTTTTTTTTAAATTGTTAAAAAATTTCTAGTATATACCTCGAATATCATCTGCACTTATGAAATGTGAATAATTCCCTGATTTTTGGTAATTTTTCAATTATGAGTGTTGGAATTGTTGTGAGGCATGCTAAGAAAATTTTGATTTAAAGTTTATAATTTCAAAAGAGAACAAAAAATTTAATAAAATAACAAACTTTGAATTAAAATTTATGATTTCTTTAATATTTGCGATAAGTAACTTTACATTACTTGGAGTGAATTAACAGAAAAGATCCATATATTCAATATATAGATCTTTACATATGTTATTTGTTGGAATATATCAAAACTTTTCATGTTTTCAGCCACTCTTCAAATTTTACAACCCAGCACAAATGGTAATTCTCCTAAATGATTAAACCCTTTAGACTACAAGAATTTTTTTTAGCAGACTCTATTACCAACATAATTTTTTGTAGTTAAAAAAAAGAGGGATTTTATTTTGCATTTATTTATTTTTGTAAGAGAGGCGTTCGTACTTAACCTTAACTGAAGCAGCACTTGTGTTTGGGTCATAGAAATGAAATGACGGAAATTTCCGTCAACACAGTTTATGGATCGTCTTAGCAAAGCAGTCTCTTAAAAATAAATAATCTCTATCATTCTATGACAGACGTTCATTTTTTAATATGTCTTTATAAAAACTTCTTTTTACAATCTTCCATTTGGGTCACATTTAAATGGTAACGAATGAATAAAAAATAAATAAACATTCATTTATTGAACCTACGAATTTCAGCGGCTGATAATTGTGCAGCTAGCTCTGTTCGATTGTTATGAAAATGGCGACCTCCAGCATGAAAGGCATTGCCGATTTTTATAACTGATTCTCGTTCTAGGATTTAATGAAAGTTTGTTGCAGACCAGGGTCAGTTTTATCTTTTGTAGTAAATTTGAGACGGAAGGAATTTACCTTAGACTGTCCTTGAAATTTAAAGTTATTTTTTTTTAATTTAAAGCAAAAGTCTTGTAAGGTCGTGCACCTGTTGTAGTTGTATGTAATGAAATTCAATTCAGTTTTTTTAACTTTTTAGATTTATAAATATCTGTTTTCTTGCAGTTAATCTATATTTTTTAAAAACTATGGCTAATATCGCAAACATGTTTTGTTCGTAATTTTTAATTAGTTATGCTTTTTTTTACGGAACCAAGCGTATTTTTTTTTTTAAATAAAAAAAAAAAAAGTTATCTTTTTTTTTTTAGAATTGTCTGCTGAAAATCCTATTTTAAAAATATTTTCAAATATCACTATTGGATTTTTGACTTTTGGTTTTAACTCGATAAGTTTTTTCACCCATGCCCAAATTTTAACTTGCTTGCCATGGCTAACCACCCTAGGCCACAAGGTACGTTGCAGTATTGAAATGGCCAAAATTTAGCTTCAATAAATAAATAAATGTTTTAATGTCATTTTCGAAATAACTAGGCAATTTCACATCATGCCAAAATGGTACATTCTCAATACCAGGGGCTTTTGGTGCTTATACTGCAAATTAACCAATATGATTCGAAGTAAGAAATGAAGTGATAATTACTCAGTAATAATTAATAATTTCAACCGTGTCTTTATTTTAGTTGTTTATTTACCCGCCAGTTTGACATTTATAATCGTTTTGTTTTTCTTTGAAAAGCGAAAGAAGTTCTTTTATTTTTTTATTTTTAAACGTCAGTACAATTTCTAAAATTTCGCCAAAAATATAAAAGTTCTGTGTCAAAAAATTGCACTGATAATGATCTTGTTACTCGTCAACTTATTTCTTACGGAATAATAAAATAAAATGCATTTTCTGCAAGTGCATTTGTCTCAACACGTGAAGCAAAAAGCAATAATTATTGAGAAATTTTAGGGCTGAAAACGAAAAAAAAAAAAAATCATTTTTGACCTTCTAAACCCGGAAATTTCTATTGAAATGAAAAGCTATCTGGTTCTTACTAACTTACTTTTGTGTGTGTGTGTGTGTTTAAGTAGTACGTAGGTCTGCTACATTTTTTACAATGATGTTCACACTGTACAAAATGAGAGCCACTCGAGATAAGAGGCACAGTTTATATGGGGAAGATAACTGTTAACGCTAAACTTGAGCAGGTTAAGATTGTAATGATTGAGGAAGCATCCTCTTGGGAGTCAGTTGTACAAAGCAGCTGTGTGTTGGAAGAACCTGCTTGAGTGGAACTTATATCTCATGAATGGAATGAGTCTGGTTTGCTACAATATGTGTGGCATGACAGGTTAGAACTGGTAGAACTAAGGAATATAGTTTGTCTGAACACTTTCCATGGAAATAGTAATAGAGCAGCAAAAAGGCTCATCACAATTTGTCTTTGGGAAAAAGTCTGGAGGGTAGAAAATAATTTGTCACCCACAAGGATGCTGAGATGCTTTTGGACTATATTGAGTCTGAAAAGTGAAAACATTAGGCTAGGTCATAAGTAATTTTGGTTCTTGGTTGATTCATTTTTTTAATGGCTTATCAACCCTTTGCAGGCTATTTAAAGCCAGAAAATATTTTTAGATTGTAAGATTTTTTTTTTTTTTTTTTTTTTTTTTTTTGAGGTAATAATGGTTTAGTCATACAAATCTTACTGATTAACCCATAGCTGGATGGAGAGAAGGATGTACATGAATATAATGAATCCAACTGTAATTGGAACTCAGCTCTCCAATTAACAATTCCAAGCCATTATCCATTGTACCACCCACACATCCAGGCTTACAGCACTTGATATTCCCAAATGGTCACTGATCTAGGTACTGACCAGGCTTGATATTGCCTAATTTCAGCAATCATATTGGTTTTTGGGAACCAACTGTAATGATAATTGTCTCATACTGGCAACAGGTGATGAGAAATGGGTTTCATATAACAATGTTCAACAAAAAATGTAGTGGATTGACAAGGATAAATCTCCCTTAACTCGTGGTTCCCAACATAGGATGCAATTTAATTTTTAAGGGGGCAATTTGAGAATAAGTTATTAATAGTGAATTTTTTTTCCAGTGAATATGAGTGTGTGTAGAAGTTAATACATACGGTGCATATACAGTATTTATACATAAAAATATTTGTGTGTATGTACATGTGTAATTATATATATATATATATATATATGTATGTATGTATGTATGTATGTATTATTTTTTTTAACAATTTCTTAGTAATTTCTTCCTCAGTAAATGTCTTTTCACTCTTTCATTTTTCTCTTTCATGGATGTCATGTTCTTTGGAAGCTTGTTTAGACCAAGTTAAATGGCCTTTTAGGCTTTCTCCATGTGAATAGGAGTTCACTTTTTGAATAATAAGAATTATATGTCATAGTGGGGTGAGGGGGCATCAAGATTTTAGAAATGCTTAGGTGGGGCATGGCCAAAAAAACAGTTGGAAACCACTGCCCTAAACAAAAAGCTAAGCTCCATGGAAGGTGCATGTGGTGAGATTGTCAGAGTTTTTCTCATTTAGAGTTCTCAAAACACTGAAACACTAAATGCACATTTATATGTCCAGCAGCTGTAATATGTCCATAAAAGTTTGATCAAAAAGTGCCCTGCACTCATCAATAGGAAAATCTTTTTCTTCCCTGTCAATGTCAGGCTGTATACAGCAAGAATAAATGGACAAAAAAGTTTGGGAATTCTGTTGATCTGTTCTACCCTCCACCCATCATATTCACCAAACATCATTGCACCTACTGATTATTACCTTTTTTTGATCACTGCAGAACACTTTGATGGGGACAGCTTCAAGAGTTCATCGAAAACATTTTCAGATCAAACTGTGGAATTTTACTAAAAAGGCATTGAAGAGCTACCTGATAAGTGGCAACAAGTCATTACAAATAATGGGGAATATGTGGTCGAACAAAATGTAATTGTTCTTTATTTTTTGAAGAATAATATAGATCGACACTATTCTTCAAAAAAAAAATTATTTTTATATACTAATAAATGTAAGAACTAATTTCACTTTAATAAATAATCAAGCAGCTCCTTCCCATGAACCACTGCTTTGTGGAACTGTCTCTCAAGAAGATGCTTTCTTGATCATTACAAGTCTAGGGTCAACCATTATCTTCTTCACATAAAACTCCATAAAACTCCTCTTACTCTGTAATCCTCTACCTTGGCCTTGCACAGAGTCAACATCACTGTATTAAAAAAAAAGCCAAGAAGTTATATTTAAATGAAGTTGATAACCTTACAGTTAAGTTTCAATAATATAGGTACTTTGTGCACCAAAATGGAAGATTTTGTCTTGTAAATAGTGACCCTAAAAATAGTTTTCACCAGCAAACAATGTATGGAAAAAAAAGGAATCTTAACTATACAAAACAGATATGCACACACACACACACACACACACACACACACACACACACATATATATATATATATATATATATATATATATATATATAACATTTTTGCAACATACTTATGTGTGTTGAAATCCTCACAGTATTTAGTAATGTTGAAGTAATAGCTAACTTTTTTGGGCGAGATTTACAAAATCTATGTTTCATTCAATTTTGCAAACCAATCAATGAAATTTGAATAAACTGGTTTGTTTTGGTTTAATAATTTCTTTAATTTTATAGGACTTCATGGTAAACAATATTTTTTAAGAAAATTTTTTTTTTTCTTTTTTAACAGTGAAGAATAATTTGATAGGATTTCTTACTCTTGAGCATGCAGCATACAACTGACCATGCATAAATATTTCTTTCTGGAGCCAAATTCCATCTTTTTGAAGTGTTTGGCCTTGTCATTTGTTTATAGTTCTTGTAAATGCAGGACAAACTGGAAACTGGATTCTTGTATATATAAAAACTTAAAAGATATGCAAAAAAATATTGTATTTTTAGTCAATAAATATTTGTTATTTTAATCATTTGTTTTTTTTTTTTTTTTAAATAGTGGGAGTATTTTGATTGTTAAATAATCAAATTGAATTTTTCCAAAAAAATGAATGGAAATTTATTGTACTAAGCTACACACCCTAGTAAAACAAACTACTTTGTACCCCACTTACCTATTTGCACTTCTCCCCAAAATTTGGTTTCAACCTGTCAATGTATGGCTATTTTAGAGAGTGTGACAGATGGATGGACAAATGGAAGTCACAGAATTTTATATATAGATAAAGCAAAATTACAACTTTCTAGAAGGTATTTAAAGATTTGCCATACATTTTAAAGCATTTATAAAAATGTCCATGATGATTGCTACAATTTGTAATGTTTTTGGTGAGTTGAGATGAACAAAGTATAAATCATTATTTCATTTGGATATAATTTAGGATCATGAATGCAAAATATGAAAGGTGTGTATCTGGTCTATACTCTTGAATATGGACAAAAGCTGTAGAGTGAGTGACCATTGTTAAATGTAAAATAAATAATAAAACTGTCCAACAGAACTGACAAAGTCAGCAATAACAAGAAAAAGAAAAGAACAGGACAAAAAAAAAAAAAAAAAAAAAGCAAGGAAAAAATATATGCAAGGCAAAGCAACAGTAATATGGCAAATAGTTCAAAAACTAAGAATTGGGGTTTACACACAAGAACAAATTTGGACAAGTGAACATAACATTCTGACTTGAAGGTGGACTGGGTCAGATAAAACTGAGAATCAGCCTATTTTATTGGCTGGGAAAAAATTCCAGCGTGTATTTGTGAGCTTCTGCCTATAAATTGGGAAAATATTTTGCTGTCATTTGTAGCAGGATTGAAACCACCAAAAATATATCTAGACTAGCAGTAGAGCCTGGCATTGCCTGGGGATGTAACAGTAAGAGATAGATCAAGTATCAACCATCATAAAGACTGAAAAATAAAATTGACAAAGATTATTGTTTAAGGTTGACGGACACGCATGTCTCAATTAGGTTTTTTTTTTTTTTTTTTTTAACGAATTGGTCAAACCCGAACTTAAACAAAAACATTGTGCAAGAAAAAAGTGTGCAAGACAATAAGAAACACTACCTGCCAAAAAAAAGTGAAGTTTTGTTGAAATTGGTTGAAAAATGTAGGAAATCCGATCCTATATATAAACGAACACAGACACACACACAAACAACCTGGATTTTATAATAAGTATAACTCGATATGAGTTGTCCCCCTTTCATTCTCGCGATGCCTCTTAATCGTATTTTCAAATTGATTTTGTGCAAAAACAATTGTGTTTTTCCAATTTTTGGTGCTGTCAGAACCACTGCAAGGTAATTTTACGTAATCCTGTGAAGTTTTGTTGAAATTGGTTGAAAAATGTAGGAAATCCGATCCAATATATAAACGTACAGACACACACACACACACACAACCTGGGTTTTATAATAAGTATGATTATATACTGCTAAGTTATATTAAAGTATCAATTCTCAGGATTTATTTCCTTAAATCCTTATATTGGCTTTACTTCTTGTTTTTGTAAAAAAAAAAAAAAAATGAAATTAATCTGTCAACATTTTCAGAGATTTCCTTTTATTTTTGTGCAAGGCCATATCATGTTGAAACATCGGTTCTTGTATGATCACTGAAGTTAAGCAAAGTTGAGTCTGGTCAGTACCTAGATAGCTCAGGAATACCAGATGTTGTAAGCTTGGGTATGTGGGTGTATAATGGATAAAGACTCCAAACTGGAAATCAAAGAGCCAAGTCCCAATTGCAGTTAGGTTCGTTATATTCACTTACACACAAATATCTTTGGGAAAGGTAGGAATCCATCTTTTTTTCCTCCAGCTATGGGTTAATTAATAGGATTTTTATCAGTAAATCATTATTATCCCCCCAAAACAAGCCAAAAATATTTTCTGGCTTTAAATAACCTGCAAAAGGTTGGTAAACCATAAAAAACAAATCAATCTTTTTTTGCAGTCTGTCATTCTGAGTTTTTATACTAGTTTAGACTTTAAATAAGTAAATAATGATATTGACAGTTTTTTGTTTGTTGTAATTTATAAGTTTTTTCCTGTCTTAATTTGCTCTTTCTTTTTTTCTTTATGGACAGTCTGTTTGCAAAAAATGTTGTCAACATGGCACAGGAGTTTGAAGCAAGTGGAAAAAATCTGCAGTCATTGCACTCAGGCCCAATCCTGTCTTTCATCAGTTTCAAACAGAAAGAAGACATCTTGGTCATCAAAGATGATCAGAAAGACGTTTCTGGATTATTTCTGTGAAGAGAATGGACACACATTTGTTAAACCCTCTTCTGTTATTCCACACAAAGGAACTGGAACTTATTTTACAAATGCTGGAATGAACCAAGTAAAAATATATATTTTTATTATTATGTCTTTCATTCTCTCTTTAAAACTGATTCAATAAGGAAGATGTTCAGTTAAACTAAAGGGGAATAAGCAAAGGCAGACAACACATTCCATTGTGGTTATTCCTCTTCTGCTTGTGGAGGAGGTGTTGCTCGCTATTTGCTTATTGCAAAAAAAACCCACTTTTTAAATGTATGTCACAAAATTTGACCTGTATGAATTTGACCGAATACACAAAACGTCCAAATTTAATGATATTTAAATATTTATTTCTTTTAAATATGTCTTCACGAAGGAACAATATCTTTAGCACTAAAATAAAACATTAAAAAATTACTGCATTTATATGAGTGAATATCTTTAACTTTGTCAATAAAATGAAGCTGTTAAAATTAATGCATTCATATGAGTAAACACTATTTTTAACTGTCAATAAAATAAAGCATTTAAACATGAATGCCTGAAAATGAGTAGACCATATTTTCTTTAATTGTATCAGTAAAATAAAGGATTTATCCTGCTTAGACTGCTAGAGTAAAAGAGAAGATAATTAATAGTTGAAAGTTGAGATGATATTGAAATGGTCACTCTAGAGAGAGGACATTAAGGGGAGCTTTTTTCCCCATTTTCTTTGGAAAGTTGTGTTTCTAACAATAGTTTGTTTTTTCTCCTTTTGTTTTTTTTTCTCATTTTCCAGATATCTTGGCAAAAAATACAACATGGAATGGTTAGGCAAATGACTGTTATAACTGCTAGGCTGTAGCAACAAAAAAAAACTATTACCTTTATAGTCAACCTTGACAAATTCCAATAAATTACCATATTTTCTAGAAACCCATCAGGATGAAAAATAAGAGTTGTCAAAGGGCAGATGAATCCTTTTGTGGAACCCATAGCCATTTAGCACAGGTGTGGGGATGTAGAAATACCTGGGTTGCATATTGGGAGTGTTGGACCCTTTAGCCTTTAAGGTAGCCAACTAGAAGGAAAACTTTACTGTAACACCCGCAGCTTGACATCATCTAATGATGTTAACTGGTTATTCTTTTAGGGTTCATGTTGTTCTTGCTTAGAGAGTGGGATTTACTGAGTGCAACATCTTTTTCCATTGAAAAAAATTTTATGCACAGGCATTGTTTGATAAGTCACAACTGAATAATGCAATGATATCTTGCAATGGTTATGTTTGACAATGGGGGACATTTATTATACATACATATATATATATATATATATATATATACACACACACACACAAGGTGCGATGGGTAAATTATTGCCATTCCATATTTTTAATTTTGCACATGCACTTTGTTTGTTTTTGATTTTGTAGACTCCACAGTATAGTAGGGTCAGTTGGGCACCGTCCGTGAGAAAAAGAGCACTATGACGCAATTCCCTCTGCCAGAAATTTGGGAACGGCATGCTGTACTACTTGGCATTGTCGCCAGAAGCTCCAATACGAATATTTCAGAGTGAGTGTCAATCTGAGAACAGTGCAGAGGATTCAGAAAGAGTTGGATGAGTCTAATGGTGATTACGAAGGTGTTTGGAGTGAGCACTAGTGATGGTGACGTTATGTCTTAATTCATCTTCACTAAGGACCTCAGACTCAATATGAAGTCCTACATCAAGTGCTTTGAGAAGGTAGTGCTGAAGTGGGTGGCTATTGGAAGACCCAATGTCTGGCAACAGGACTCTGCACCATGCCACACAAGCAGGAGAACCGGGTCATAGTTGTCAGACAATTTCTGTAATTTTCTTACATCTGGCCACCTAACTCCTCAGACTGCAACCCCCTTGATTATTATGTGTGGGGCGCAGTTGAGCGAGAGACCAATAAAACTCCTTGTAACACCAAAGATGAACTGAAGGCAAGGATTATGGCAGCATTCACCAACTTAAACAAGGACACTGTCCAGAAGAGCTGCTGGAGATTCTGATGTTGTCTGGAGGCTGCGGTTGAAGCTAATAGCAATTTTATTGAATAAATTTAATCTCTAGTATTTCAAGATATTTTTGTGCAATTTTGGTAATTATATCTGTTAAAATGAGATATCAATGTTATTTTTATTTTTTCATAATTTAGACAATTTATCCATTGCGTCCTGTATATTTAAAATAATAAAACAATTGCAAAAAAGTCATTTCTAGCCAAGAAAACACATCATATATTTTTATTCATTGTTTTGCAATATAGTTTTTGCATTATCCACTTGTTACACTGAACAGTATCAATCCATATGTCAAATGTCTCTTTCAACATATGCTTAGGTCAATTATACCAACCTTTTTGATTAGGTGTTTTTTCTGAATTAACCTATATGCCAGCATACATTATTATATGGTAAATTTGAAATGTTATTGTTTTTTTTTTATTGCTTTTATTTTTATATATTCTTGATTAATTCTTTACACTTTTGATATTTTACAGTTTAAACCTTTATTCCTTGATTCTATGGATGAGAATTATGTATACAAAAAAGTGGCCAACAGCCAGAAATGTATTCGTGTTGGTGGCAAACACAATGACTTGAAAGATGTTGGAAATGATCTTTATCATCATACTTTCTTTGAGATGCTTGGCAACTGGTCCTTTGGAGATTATTTTAAGGTACCAACATTGGTTTTTCTCATGATAACTTGTGATATTTTAAATAATTGTTCACACAGGATAAGTTGTCTTTCCTTTGAATCAAATTTCTTATTACAATATAAACTTTTGTTAATGAAGCTTGATCATTTTCTCTCGGGATTATCATCTTCAGTTCAATACTCTACCTATAGACTATACTGTTTTAATATAATGTTCCATGTTTGGGTTTCGTTTTACTTTGCCATTTAATGTAACCAATAGAAATAAACTTAGTTACTGCTAAACTATCTTTGATGTGGTTGTTTGCAAGTTTTTGTCCTTTGCTCTTTCAGAGGGATGCCTGTGAATTAGCTCTCCACTTACTTGTGGATCGATTCCGGCTCCCATTGGACCGTCTCTACTTCACATATTTCTCAGGAGATGAAAAATCTGGCTTACAGCCAGATTTGGAGACACGAAAGATTTGGCAAGAACTAAAGTAAGTTGCCTTTCTTTCAGCTACTACGTGGCAGCTTTCAAAATTGAAATACCGTATTTGCTGACATCAAGGATGCAGTTTGTTTTTTTTTTAACCTGAAATAAATCTAAAATATTTGCAGTGCATCCTTGAGGACAAAGGTTAAGGTTTTCATGGGACCATGCTAACCCAAGAGGAAGATTATCTATGCCAGATGGTAAACTGAATTCCTGTATGTGATCTCTTAATTAATTTTATAAATTGTACACTATTTAAAGAAAGTATCATAACAAATATATATATATATATATATATATATATATATATATATGTACAAAATGTTCTCATGGCAGATTAGGGTAGGGGAGCCAACAGACTAGTAGTATCAAAGAAGTTAAACACAGGCAGCACCACTTCATTTTGATGAATTTCCTAGTTCTAGTTGGCAATTGCTGAGCTAGCAATGCCCACTTGTCACGATATGATAAACATTAACAGGTTTTTTTTATTTTGTTTCCATTATTTTTACTGTTTTTATGTTTCCCAATTTGTTAGTTGTTACCAATTTGGCAGCTTAATTGTGATTCTGCAATCATTGATCACCCAAAAGTGTTGGTCATAATCATAAACCTGGACCTGTTAACTCTAAGAGTGGCAATAACTTCAGAAGGCTCTGAGTTAAAAATTTTAAAAATGCCCATAATATGGCATCTGGAGCCAAAAAGCAGTCCTATACCATCAGCTACAAGCTACAGGTAATTGAATATGCCAAACAGCAACAGAGCTGTAAAGAGGCATTTTGGACCACCTCCAACTGCAAAAATCATCCATTGCTGGAGGAAGCAAGAGGACCTGTTGAAGCCTGCATCAAGAATGAAATGTAACCTGCGTGTCTACCCCTAACACTAACTAGCCAGAGCTTGAGGAAGAAATGAAGGGTTGGATAGAGAAATTTGAGTTGTTCAGTTTCAACAAAAGTTAATGAATCACAGCTGAGGGCAGCAGCATGAAGTCTGGATTCTTTTTGTGGGACATCAAGCTGATGCTACAGATTTATGAGGAGATATGGACTGGCAATGAGAGTTTAAACAAGAATAGCACAAAAAATGCCTGAAGATTATGATAACCAAATAATCAAATTTCCCAGAAGTGCAAAAAAAAGAAACTGATTACGAAATTGATTAGATCAGAAACATGGATAAGGTGCCATTAATGTTTGATGTGATATCAAATAGCACAGTGGATGGTAAATAGTCCAAAACTGTATGTGTAAAGACATTTGGACATGAGAAAACCCATTATACTGTAGGGCTATCATGTTGGGCTGATAGAACAGAACTGCCACTGTTATTGATTTTCAAGAGGAAAACGTTGCCAGCAAATAAAATTCCACATGAAATTTTTGTTCACGTCCACCTAAAGGAGTGGATGAATCAAGAAAGAGTAAAATTATGACTGGATAAGGTCTGGTCAAGCCGTCTGGGTGTCTTCATTAAAAAAAAAACCCACCCCGACTTATGTGGGGCCAATTTCATGCCTATAAAATGACTACAAAGGAAAGGGTGGAATGACTGTACAGTGATATAAAGCACTTTAAAAGAAAACATTATTATAACAAGAAAAACAAAATAAAAGATTGTTTAAATCAATTTATTTAAAAAAGAGAAAATTCCAAATCAAATTTACCAAATATTTTTATAAAAGTTTCTCTCAAATAAATAGTTTTATTTAAAAGAAAGTTTTCCTAAAAAGTTATGAGATATGAAAATAAAGATTTTGTTTCTTTGAAAATATTTTTAAAGAATTTGTATAAGTAAAGTTTTTTTTTTATTGTTTTACATTTAACTAAAGCTTTATTTTATTTTCCATATATTCCACCCTATGGGTAATATTTAAAAAAAAAAAAAGTAAACCCAGATAAAATTTTTTCCCATTGGACATATAATGAACCTTCCACTGATATTTCAGTAAATAGAAAAAACATTGCTGTGTAGAACAATGAATTGTTGAACTGGAGTATCATTGTGTCTGATGCAGCTCTACTGTAGTTACATATCACACTCAGTATTTTATATGTCTAAGGGAGAGCAAATGTATGTGTCTCTGTATTGCAAGGGTAAAATGATAAAATCCAGTTCCCAAGTTGTAAAGATGATCTCTGTGTGGCTAAAGCATTCACAAAACATCTTGATAAGGTAGGGAAAAGTGCTGAGACTTTATTTTTATGTTTATTTTTTTTTCTCAAAAGTTTTCACTTTAAACTTGGAGTGCATCCTTGATGTCAGCAAATACGGTAGTTTTGTTTTGGAAACAGTCAGCAGAATAAATGCTGTCAGTTTTTTCTGTGAATTGTTTTGACTGTTCCAATTCATATATACAAATTAAACACAAAAGAAAACTCAAAAAATAATTGTAAATGATATGATACAAGCTGTCAGCTAGATTAGCCATCTCAGTTTAGTTCATATATCCTCAGTGTTGCTTTTCCCATATCATCCACATTGTATTTACTTTTATTTTTTTAAAAATTGGTCACTTAATGAATTATTTGAAATTAAATTTGTTGAGGCTTTTGGAGTGTAAATCATATTTTTTTCTTTCACTGTCTAATATTTTGGGTATAGTTAATTAAAATAATTATGGGAAACTCAGAAAGGCCTAGATTCTATAATTATCAGATTAACTTCTGATTGCAGAATAACAGTATCATTACTCTATTGTTCATGCAACCATAAACGTCTGTATTTTTTTTTCATCATTTTCCTTTCAAGTAAAAGAAACAAAATTATTTTTATTATTTTTCAGTATTCCATCGGAGAAAATTTTGCCTTTTTCATCAAAGGACAATTTTTGGGATATGGGCCTGACAGGACCATGTGGACCTTGTACTGAGATCCACTATGACCATATTGGTCATCGTAATGCAGCTCCATTAGTCAACACTGGATCTCCTGATGTTATAGAAATATGGAATTTGGTTTTTATACAGTATGATCGGTATGTGAAAGTCTTTTTGAGTAACTAAATGTATGCATAACCTAACCAAACTCATTCAGCTTACTATCTCTTCTGTTTTTAGTTTTATCACTATAGTTTTCAATATTCCATACTGTCAGCATTAGCTTTGTCAAGAAAGGAGATATGTTGTCTGTTCCTGGATGGATATATCTCAACTCATTGATAACTTGAGATGTAATGGGTGACAAAATTTTAAAAATTTGAATCTAATCATGATTATATATAAATAAATGATCTAAGTAAAGAGATACAATCAACCATATATATATATATATATATATGTGTGTGTGTGAGCAATTATGCACACATACACATTTTGTACCTGATGATTAGCAAAGCCATGAAACTCTTGAGTCATACAGAAAAAGCAGTATATGTGTAATATATAATTAATACAAATAAAATTTGTCACTTAGGTGATTGATGTTATATTCAGCACCTTGATTTTGGAGTTATTGGTGTTATTTTATTTTTGTTTTTTTTCTCTCTTTGTCTGTTTGTGTTATGAAAAATTTAAATGCAAAACAGACAAAAGATTTTTTTGTGCAAAATATAAAATTTAAATTATACAAAAACCAAATTTGTCAGTTTTTTGTGCAAAATATAAAAATTTTAACTCCTTACAAAAACCTAAATTTTTGTTCCAAACACAAAAATTTAGTTAGAAGGGACAGAATGGGAAAAGAGAACACATTTACGCCTAATATAAGTTGAATAAGGAAAAAAACAACAAGACTGAACCACTACATGCAATTTTAAAAGTCAAACATTTATTACAATATACAGAAGAAAAAACAAATACAGAATTTACAAGAGCTTGCACAAAAGTTTCCTTTTGTGCACATTACACAATAACTAAAGCAGTATAACAATTAAATATACAACAAAAAAGGATTACACTTTTGAAAACAAAAAATCTTTGAGAAAGTAAAATACAAAAATGGAAGAAAAGCAAAAGGTGCATCCACCTAATTGGGAAAAAACCTACTTTGACTTATCCCATGAGCATCTCTGGGACATTCAATGATATTTTGAAATATCTTTTTGATTTTCTTTCTGTTTGGCTATCCACGTGCTTCATGAACCATAACAGTATTTAGGAATTTTTTTGTTTTCTTTTCATTGTTGGTGACAGTGGTGTCCTAGTGAAAGCCAAATGTTTATTGTTCTCCTTGTCACTGTGGTGATTTTTGCATGTGAATGTCAAAAATCCTTCTGCTCCCTGTCGCTGGTGGGCTTGTTTGCAACTGAACCTTTTAATTGCTTTCTGCCTTGAAGGTTATGTCACTGATTGGTCAGCATAATATGATGAAATATTTTTTTACAAATTCAAAATGAATTCGCAAAAATTCACAAAATAATTTTTGAGTTCCTTTAACTGCTAAATGTAGAAAAGACATTTTCACACTATAACAATTGTTTTTTTGTACAAACTGTCAGACTTTCATTTACAATACACTTTTCCCAAAAGTATGTGTAAAAAACAAACAAAAAAAAACTAGATGATTAAAACATTTATTACACCTTTTAACTAATGCAGATTTTAATTTACAGTACTAAAAAATAAAATTTCCATAGTGTTTGTGTACATTTGTGCATCTGTATATATGCATATGTGTTGAATGGTATGGTTATTTCTGCTTTTCACCATTTTTTTATATCCTTCAACTCTCTCTCTCTATTCCTCTCTCAGTATCACAGACAGGACTTTTTGTGATCTTACGGTATTTTGTTTTCTTATGTTCTGGGGGTTTCTTAAGTTAGTTATTTGGGAAATATTAGATATATTCTGTTTTCTATTTCTTATGTTTTGTTTAAATAATTGATTTATTTAGTTATTTTTTGGATTAATGCTCAAATGGCCCAGTAAATGCTTGTTTATATGCCTGCACTTTTCCATTATTTAATTTTACTAATTTAGTAGTTTGTTTTTTACTTGGTGTCTTATGGTGATAGAACTGATTGTGAGACACTTGAAATATTACTGTTATGTATGCTTGTCATATTTTAAATAAGATCCCAAAAATGTAACATTTACACACATATTGCAATTTATAAAATAGTTATGAGTGAAATGTGATAAAAAACAATAAAGGTTAGGAAATTAATCTGAAAGAAACCAATTATTACAGCACAGCTTTTTCAAAACTGCCTTATTTAGAGGGTAAGCAACAAAAAACTTTACTTAATTCAAAGCAGCCTTGTTCTTATTACAATGTTTCAGCCGTTGTACGCTCTGGCCTTCTTCAGGTGGTTGGAATGTCAAACTGAACCCATTATTTCGCTCACTGGTGTAGACTGTTCTAGTTTCATGTGCCATGTTTAATGGATGTCAGTTATCAGTTATCTCTTGTTAATTCCCCTCTCCAAGTTCTCCACTACCTTAACTGGGTATTGAACTCACACTCTTTGGGTCCTGTCACTGGATCTAACCAATGCCTTTATCCACTGTGCCATGTGTCCTTGAAATAAAGTGTTCAGTTCGACATTCCAATCACCTGAAGAAGGCCAGAGCGTAAAACAGCTGAAATGTTGTCATAAATATGGCGACAAAGATGAGGACAATAGTCTGAATAATGTAAATAGTGTACATAATACCTCATCTCAGAAATATAGACAGATACATCCTTGTACGTGTCTCAATGCAAACAACCTTGTATTTGTATTTAAGTATTGAATTATAATATCATTTATTTTTACTGATTTATTTTTATTGTCATTCACTTTTTATTCTAAATACATTCTCTGAAATTGTTCCTTGCTTTTTCACTTTTCAGGTTGGCTGATCAATCATTAAAAGAACTTCCTCGGCATCATGTGGACACTGGCATGGGACTTGAAAGACTGGTTGCTGTTCTTAGAGGTTCATATGATAATTACTCTACTGATCTCTTCCAAGGACTTTTCAACACTATTCAAAAAGTAAGCTGTAAATGATGACCATAAATTGTTTGCTTTTTTTAATCAAAATTTTTTCAAAACACTTGATCAGATTACCAGCATTATTTTAACTTTAATATTCAATGGTTCTTTTTTTTAATTTTTTTTGTTGACTTGTCCTTACCTATGTATTCAAATAAATTTTTCAAGTAGGTAGCATGCTATTTCACTGGCTCTTTTGCCTTCAATATATCCTGTGAGTTCCAAAGAACTCGGATTACATGAGGGTCATTCAAAAAGTTCTAAGCCTCACCCAGAAAGAAGAGCTACAGCTGAACATTTTTGTTGCGGCAATACAGTCTTATAAAACTAGAAAAACTAATTCAAATTTCTGTCTAGGTTAGGCATACAGAGTTGAGAAGTGTGTGACAAATTTAAAAATGGACAAAAAAAAAAAGGCCCAAGCAGCCATAAAGTATCTGCAAAAGAAAGGTATGATATCCAAGAAAATCCATGAGGACATAGTGCAGACACTTGCTGAGGACTCCCCTTCCTATGCAACTGTGAAGAAGTGAATTCAAACAGGGTGGGGACAGCACAAAAGATGACTCTCGATCAGGTCATCCAAAAATCTCAACCACTGATGAGCAAGTTGATACCATTCACTGTATGCTTTTGGATGACAGATGTCTTACTGTTGAGCAGATAGCTAAGTCAGTGGGCTAAAAATGAAAAAAAAAAACAAAGGCTTACTGGCAAGATGCTAGAAATACTTAAAAATAACTTCAGTTGGGAGTTGCTGGTTTCTTTTAGCATATATTTACACGTCCAGTCAGTGAATGATAGTAACCAACTGCTCAAAAGCAGATTTTTACAACAACTGATTTTGCCAGCCAACTTGTTTAATTTTGCTGCCAGCCGACGAATGCCCAAATGAAGACTCTCACTTGTCAGGTCATCTGACCACACCAAAAACTTCAAAAAACTCTTTGATCTGAATGACCCAGAGCTTGGAGATGTTTAATTAGTAAAAAGAGATTGTCTTAACACTTACTCTGAGAATTTCTACTGCAGATTAGTAATTCAAGATGAAACCTGGGTTCACCACTTCGAATATGAATCAAAGATTCAAAGCAAGCGTTGGAAACACTCTGGCTCTTCACTCCTGAAGAAGTTCAAACAGGCAGTGTCTCTGTTGGCAAAGGTGATGGCATTTGTTTTTGGAGATTCTGAAGACATAATCATGATAGACTAACTGGAAAAAGGAAAACTATTGATGGACGGTTGTATGCATCAGAATTAAGACAAACTGAAAGAAGCAATCAAGTCCAAATACACAGGGAAGCTGAGGGTAGGTGTGCTCTTGCTCCAGAATAACATGCCTCTTTACACAGCTCAGCAGCAGCTGAAGCAGCTAACTGTGGCTTTAAGTTGCTACCCAATCCCCTTTACTCACCAGACTTAAATCCATTTGACTTCTTCCTGTTTTCTAAACTCAAATCCTACTATGTGGTTGCTATTTTGGAAAAAAAAAAATGAGATCATATGTGCTGTGGAGGAGGTTTTGAAGGACCAGGATGCCACCCCCTCCGGTGATGGGATGGCAATGCTTAATCATCGTTGGACCAAGTGCATTGATGTCAAGGGGGACTCTCTTGAAATAGTGAAACACTGTCTTATTTCTCCAACTCCTTCTAGGTGAGGCTTAGAACTTTTTGAACGAACCTCGTATAAGACAGAGCAAGGAAAAGCTACTTACAACAGCCAAAACTTTGCATCAAAACCTGCAGGATTAAGTCTTGGAGACAATGAGAACTCAGAAATTGGAAGAACAACAATTATGTAGACCCTTCAGAAGAAAAATCAAGGGAATGGCAGAAAAACAGATATGATCATCATGGCTATGAATGAGAAATTGAGTCGTGCTATTAGCAGCCCAAAATATGAAGCCCTGCCTTAAAGGCCAGGGTAGAATAGAATACAGAAGAACAGCAGATATAGGTTGTGTGGAAAGAAAGATGAGACAGTAAATGCAGCAACTTGGTCTTGAAAGACTACAAGATTAGACATGACTGGGTGGGAAAGGTATTCTACTGGAAACAGTACAAGCAGCTGCATTTTGACTATAAAAACCAGTTTTATATGCATGGATCTGAATCTGTCCAAAAGAATGTTGTACATAAGATCCTCTGGGATTTTGAGATTTAAATGAATTACTTAATTCAAACCAGAAGACTGGGTCTTGTAGTAATAATCAAGATGAAGAAAGCATGCTGGATAATAGATTTCACAGTTCTGGTAGACTACAGTGTAGATCTGAAAATGGCAGCACCTTACTATTTTGACCAAAGAGACCTATCAGGAGACAAAATTCAGATTTAGTCACATTTTTACCCATTTGATTTTCTCTGTGCCATTTTTTTTTTACTTAGTAGATGTATTAATCTGAAACAAAAGAAGTTAGTGTTTCCAAAGGACACATTTATAAGTTACAAATATTTAACTCACAAAAAATAGGGTTAAATTTTATCATTATTTATCTCAACCTGAAATGATATGAGCTTGCAATTGTGACACCCTAATCCCTTCTCATAAACAACAAACAAAAACTTAGTTTGATATTGGTTGAACTATTGATAACCCAAGGGAGATAACTGTTTAAAATGTTTTCAATGACTTCAGTATAACTTGGTAAACCAACAAGGAATTCTTGTTATAAGTTGTACTAGCCATTAATGTTTTCTCTTGACTAAACTTAATTTACTATAGGGTCATCAATTTTTGGGAACGTTTTTTTTATAGTAAGTTTTTGACGTTCTTCATATTATTTGACATGTTAATACTAATATATTTATCTTTCTGTTTATATGTATTTAAGAAAAGAATTTTGCAAACTTCAACTTTGACATGTTTTGCTAATTATCTGATGTCATGGGAAAAATAATTTTATTTCACACATGAACAAAATCGATATTTGTGAAACAAAACTTTATTTGTGTTAAGTTTCTGAATGCTGATTTTTATTTTAACTGTATTGTCATAGAAATTAACTTTCATTTCAGTTTTTATTTACTTACTTATTTGTTTACAATTCTCACTTGTAAGAACTAGTGGTAAACTGAAATATTCCAGTCTTATATTATTTCAGTTTATTGTCCATTACGGACTTAATCCATTTCCTAAAAATTTATGGGGTTGAAGTTAGGATACAAAACGGAGCAGATATTTTTATTTTGAGAATCAGCAATATATGTGTTCAAAAGTACTATTTGGCCTTTGTTTGTTTAGAATATCCTACATGGCTGAGTTGGTCTAAGGAATGTCAGATCTAATGATGGTTTCCCCCCAGGGAATGCAGGTTCAAATCCTGCTGCAGACGCATTTTTTTTTCTAACAAGTTTTCTTGAATATTCAGGCTAGTAGATGTAATTAAATAAATACTGTTTAATAAATAAATAAAAAAACAGAGCATCTACTCAGATATGAGTATCCATTTAAAAAATAACATTTAAAGAAATAAATTAAAAATGTGGAATATGTAAATTGTGAAAAAATAAATAAATTAAACCTGAGTTGTAATTAGTTAAAACCTAATTTTTATAAGAATAAATTAGTTAAAATGTAATTTCTATAAGATTAAAATTACTTAAAATCTAATTCCTAAAACAATTTTATGACACTGGTTTATCAGTGAAACCAATCAAAGTTGAAGTTTTTCCAAATTCTTATATATTTAGCATTCCATGAAATTCTCTTTCAAATTTACTCACACAAACACAAGTCAATTCCAGACAATTTTAAGAACAAAGAGAAAGATAACTCTGAAAAAATCTTCAATATGTGGATGATCAAGGCTCTTCACAATTTCCTATCCTTTGTAGCCCTTACCAATATTTGCCTTTTTACTCTCTTCCATTCCATGTTTTACATTCCATTTACACAAGCTCATTAAATAAGTTATTTGCAGTTTCCCTCTGCACCTCTTGCCTTGAATATGCCATGTGCGTATCAAATTTTCCAAACACCTTTTCCTCATTATGTCTCCTTGAAATTTTTTTAAACTTCTTTTTATGTTAATTATTTTCTCAATTAAATTTGTCTTTAGTTAACATTGCTAATTCTTCTGTTTACTTCTCCAGGTCACTGGAGCACGTCCCTACAATGGGTGTATTGGAGAGGCTGATGTAAACGGCATTGACAAAGCTTATCGTATTATTGCTGATCACTCTCGTATGTGCACAGTTGCCATTGCAGATGGATTGTTACCCAGCAGAGATGGACTTGGGTCAGTAATTCTTTTGACATTTTATTTTTAGTGGATATCCGCATTTGAGTAGACACCCTGTTTATTTTAAACAGTACTTATTTTGTCTACCAGTCTGTGTATTTGAGAATACTTAATAAAGAAAATGTGTCCCCCTGGCTTAAGTTTTCTTGAGTACACAGATTGTTAGACAAAATAAATATTGTTTAAATTAAACGGGGTATCTACTCAAGTAAGGATATCCACTAAAAATAGTGTTTTAAGTTAAAATATGTGCTTGAATAAATCGGTAAACTAATTTTTTTTTTTTTTTTTAACAGTAAGGTTCACCATTTACAAGGCCCGAGAGCCACTCTAGGTAGAGGGTTAGAAGGTAATTTTTGTGGATAGGAGTGGAAGATAACAGTTAAACCTATCCTTGAACAGGCTAAGATTGTAGTGATTAGGGAAACATCCTATGGGGAGTTGATTCTAAAGTGCAGTGGTTCACAGGAAGAACTTACTTTTCATCGATGAAATACTCTTAGAATGTGGGTGGTTTGCTACTATGTAAATGGCATGGCACATATCCTTGCTGTGAAGGTTTGAATTGGCAGGACCAGGTAATATAGTTTGTCTGACCACTTTCTGTTGGAGTAGCAACAGAGCAGTGAGAGGCTTGCTATATTCCATCTGTTGAGGAGAGGTTGGAGGGTGGAGAATAATTTGTCACCCACAAGGACTCAGAGATGCTTTTGGACTCTCTCAAGGCTGGGGAGTGAACTCTAGGCAGCTTTTTGCCCAAATATGACAGCAGTACTCCATTTTTGACCTGATCTGACTCTTTTTAAAGATAGAGGGTAGCAGGAGCAGTCAGGTACTTACTATAGCGGTTCAGGGAGCCTGCCATTTTACCTGCATGCTTAGCATTGGGTTGTATGTATAAATTCCATTTGGGGACAGTTGCAAGTTTGAGGCCCAGTAGTCTTTCAAGGCATGGTGCCTCCTCAAAGGGACATAAATTCATCCTGATAAAAACAGTTTTTCAGGAAATTAGGACTCTCAAGTTCATTAAGTGTTATTGCTCTTTCTAGTATTGATGAGTTTCCTACCAAACCTTTTGTTTAAGGTAGTGTGGAAAGCATAAAGTAAGTGTAAAAAAAAAATACAATTTTGACATTTCTTTGATATTTTCAGGCTGTATAAGTCTTAAAATGATTATGGTTAAAAATAAATGAAATAGAACATTTTTAAAATGGAAAAAATACTTTAATAATTTGAACATGCAACTAGAAAATTTATCTTTACTGCTTAAGATATATCTGCTGATATGACATAACAGCAATAATCAGAAGAAGCAATATTTTAAATCAGCTTGACTGCTAACCAGCGACTTTTGAGTTTCTGTTGTAAATGTGATATGCACACAATTCCAGGATTTAAACCTAAATTGGCAGATATGTTGTTTCTTTATGAAAAAAAATGTTCATTTGAATTGTTTCTCCATCTTCCAAAATGTGTGGGTGGTGTAATGGATAATGGCTTGGAATGAGAAGGTATGAATCCATCTGTTCTCCCTCCAGTTATCGGTTAAATATTAGAACTGGAAAAATCATTATTACCTCCACCCTCTAAAAATTGAACCACTGACAATTATTATAGCTGAAATTAAAATTACCAAAATACACACAAATGCCCTTGGGAAAGGTATGAATCCATCTGTTCTCCCTCCAGTTCTGATTAAATCTAGCCATTTTTGGTATTTATATAAACTCCCACATTTGAGTGCCAAGGAGTGCAATTGGCAGCTTGTGTATTCATATATATAGGTTGGAGTTTGTGACTGTTGGGCTTTGCGATCTGCATAAATCTTTTTATTTGCACAGTCTTGAATCCCTTAGTTTCTGGAAAAAAACAAAAAAACAAACTCAGCAGATTTAGGATACCATTTTTCATGGACAGCTTGACACAAACTATATTTGTTAGAGAGACCCTCTTACTTAGTTTTGATTCTATGACTCTCCAAAAGTTTTCAGTAATGAATCTTCGTAGGACATCTAATTCTCTCAGAATTGTCCCATTGTATAGGTGGAATAAGTCTGGTGAGAAGACACATCCTTGTCTTACACCCCTTTCGTTTTTTGTATATCTGCTGAACTCATTTTCTATCCGGTGGTTTGCTGCCAGTATAGGTTCTTGATTATTCTAATATCTTTCCCAAATATGTCCTAACAGATCTTTGAAGTATGAGAAATGGAGAAGAAAAAAAGAAATCCTTTCAATTAAATATACAAGGAATATCTCCTTCATTGAAGCATGCAGGATAGTACAAACCCAAACATATAGCCAAATCACAAAAATAAAACCCAAAGTGAATGAATCTCAAGGGGAAAAATAAGTATAAGGCCATACTTCAGGAAGTGTTGTCACTAGAATGAGACAACTGGCCTCAAATTATATGAGCAATTCTAGAACTTGAAGACTTAGCATTTAAAAAGCTCTCAGAAGCCGAACATCAAAGGGAAAAATGGAAAAAAAAATAATGAAAATGTACCCTCATTTATTAAGCTGAAGCCACCAAGCAGAGAACACCAGGTCACTAAAAGTAGAAATATAAGTAAAAAAAAAAACACTATCTCAACTATCTTGCTCAATTTCATTTATGGTGTTGCAAGAAAATATTACTGATTGGGGGGCTTGATTATATTCACTACCAATGATTGCATCTTGTTCTGGGGGGGCCTTTAAAATATCCCCAGTAGAAAGCTAATATATGAGATGCCACAAATATTAAGACAACAAAAATTAGCACATTCAATATTATACCAAATTGCAATCATGCACAAACAACCCATCATTCAACTGCACTTTTTACCCACAATATAAATCTTTATTCAACTGGGGAAAAAATGCTATCAAACCTTTTGGTGTTTACATGGAAAATCTAATCAGCAAAACTAAAATAACTTCATAAAACCACCATCTCAAAAAACCCACCCTGGTTAATGAAACAGCCTACAATACTGTTAAATCTTACCAAATACCATAAAACTATTGCCAATTCCTCTGATTATATAGAAGAAATTCATAATATTCTTCAAGCATATCCAAATTATAAACACATATATACTGATGGCTCTAAAATCTTGGACAAAGTTGGATGCTCTGCTATACTTAACAATATAAAAATTCACAAATGCCTGACAAAATAATCATCAGTGCAGAAGCCTCGGCCATACACTTGACGTTGGATATTATAGAATCTAGTGGGTCAGATAGATTTATCATCCCAGATTCACTATCTGTATTCATGTCACTGAATAATAAAAACATGGGACATACCTTAATAAATAAAGTACTAAATAGGATTGACACTACTTACAGGAAGAAAACATGCTAAAAATAGTCTTCTTAAAACAGGATCTTCACCTTCACTTCACCAAATAACAGGAAAATGTTCATTGAGGAGAAATTTTAAAAGACTTAAATACTGCCTAATACTTAAATCCACTTTGGCAGGAAGGGAAATAAGCTACTGCCATTGATTAAAGCACATGCAGGAGTCTTATTTGTTAACCAAGGATGGTGAATTCAGTCCGAGGTAGGAGTCAGCATAGTTAACAGCTCTTTCTCTTTTCCCTTTTTCATGTAGACCATAGTGGCAGCTTATTTATCACACGTTTTAATGTACAATTATTTTTTTTATTAAGAAAGAGAGATTCTAGGCTTGCATACATGATCCAGACACCTTTTTTAGTCAGGCAATCTGAAACTTGGCTTGAGTCGGAAATCCATTCAAGTTTATCTATTACCTTTTGTTCAATCATTTCACGAATAATTTCAGTTTCACTTCTCAGCCTTTTATCCAATATTTGAGTAGATGAGTGAGCAGACTCATATGGGCGTGCATTGTCAGTTTTACATATTACTAAAAGATTTTCTGGCTTGTCTTTAATGCATAAAAGTTCTAGAAGATATTTTCTATAAAAAGTACAGGCTTCCATAGTATCAACCCTCGCAAGTACCTCTGCTGCTGGCGTACTTTTTACAATTTCCTTGACTCTATGAGCTTGCCAAGAAATAGGAACATAATTATAATTGTCACCCACAATAAAGGCAATGTATCCTGCTTGAGATCCTTCATTGTTAAGTCCAGCAGAAGAATGTACACATGTGTTTTATAGACTATACAAAGGTGTTCAACAAAGTACACCACAAAGATCTGTCAGAGTTGATCAGTAACCTTGATATATTTGGGAAAGATATTAGAATAATCAAGAATCTATACTGGCAGCAAACTGCCTGCATGCAGATAGAGAATGAATGCAGCATATATACAAAAATAGAAAGGGGTGTAAGGCAAGGATGTGTCTTATCATTTATTCAGTAAGGCAATTCTGAGAGAATTGGAAATCTTACTTGGATTGATCATTAGTGGCCTCAATTTTAACAACATAAAATGACACAGTGCTGATAGCAGACACAGAAAAGAAATTACAAAACCTCCTACAGAAGATAGCAAAGGAGAGCAAGAAGAAGGGACTAAGCATAAACTACAAGAAGACAGAATGCATGGTCATCGGTAAAAGTATGAGCCCAAAATGTGATTTACAGGTTGGGGACACTAAAATCAAGCAGGTGCAGAAATTTAAATATCTGGGAAGTGTTCTAACAAAGGACAGTAAGTGTGACACTGAGATTCGAAGACATATTGGGATGGCTAAAGACGCATTCCAAAAGCTAGACAGAGTATTACGAGACAGGAAGATTTCATTAGTAACAAAGAAAAGAGTACTGAACTGCTATGTGATATCTGTCCTCCTTTACAGCAGCAAATGTTGGACAGTCTCCTCAAAAATGAAGAAGAAACTCGAGGCAACAGAGGTATAGTTCTGCAGAAGGATGCTAAGGATACCATGGACTGAGCATGTAAGCAACAATGGGTTTTGGAGAGGATGCAAACAAGGAGGAAGCTTATACTTAACATCAGGAAGAGGCAGCTGAAATTTCTGGGACACGTAATGAGAAAGGAGGGCCTGGAGAATCTGATACTCACAGGGCAAATAGAGGGAAAGAGAGACAGGGAAAGCAATGCATGACATACCTAGCAGGCATAAGTAAGTAGATGACAAAACAGGGAGAAGTAGCAAAGGGACAAAACTTATTGAGACCTACAAGGGATAAAGGGAGAAGTGGAGAGCCATGATCGCCTACATACTGAGAGGACATGATACAACACATAATAGAAAAAGAAGAAATCCTGCATCATTATATGCTACCAGTTTCAGTCTTGCAAAATTGTCTAAGTTAGGTATTAACAGTTTGGAGATTTTGTTATCTTTTCTACCTGATTTATTTACCAGTGATATTCTCTCCACCTTTCTATCTTTTAAAGATGTTGTCACATCACTTACCTCATAACTTAAATCAGGTCATGTCTGTGTAGCTAGCCAATTTAGCTTTCCTATTGAGCTTCTACAAAATTTGAGCTCATCATTTGACAAAACTGAGTTTGAATTATAGTCAGTCTGTAGGTATCATAGGGATTGTTTTGACAAACTTATTTTGACTAATTATTATGGACTCTTTTTGCTGACAAATCTCAAGACCAAGATATTTATAACTTGAAGTTTCCTCTGATCTGACCATAAAAACGATTTTCTTTATCACATTTTCTTAAAATTTTTCAATGCCTGCACAGAAGTCATACATATGAGTTGATATAATTCCATTAATCTTCTTATCACACTACCTTGTAAAGACAGCTTGGTCATACTTAGATGGACAGTTTCCCAGTTTTGTTAGCACTTCTTTAACTGTTAAATACCATTCTTGAGAAGCATCATTCAGTACATATATGCATTTATTTAATTTCGATATCTAACATTCAGGAACTTTACCTTCATGAGGAGGAGGTTTTAGAATGACATGTCCCCCTCAAAGCCACAATGATGGTCAGGAAAATTTGTAGGCTCTCCTTTGAGCAAGTAGGCAAGTCATTTTTAACATATCCTGAGTCTTCATCTTGAAATCCATTTGCAACCAATCTGAAGAAGAAAAAGTTAACCACATGATACTTTTTGTCCCCATTAATGAAAGGAAAATAAAATTGTGTACACATTAAAATATTAAAACATCTGCATATGTTCACATTCTATAATGACATCCCAATCTTGTGTATGGGTTCATATGTGGCAACAAATGAAGAAATTTGAGTCATCTGTGTCAATATTGCTTATTTTGACAAGTGAAGAACTAATGAAGATCATGGAAGACAGAAAAGAATGGAAGAAACTAGTTAATGATGTTGAATTTCTCTTGAAATAGAAGAAGAATGTATCTTTTGATAACAGGACTCTTTGTCACTGAGTTCAGTGATATTGTTAAATTGGGATATTCAAGAAAAATCCTTGGTAAAACAACTAGATGTATCAAGAACTTAAAAGAATATATTGATGAAAATGTTTAAAACAACAAAGAAAGAAAATATTTCATTTTAGAACTTTGGATCATGAAAGAAAGCTAAAGAATATATTGGTGAAAATCAAAGATGAAGATATTTGTCTAAAAATAAAATGTGTTCTTTTGCATGAAGAGATGGAGCCTCTTTATCAAATATATATTTTTTTTTTGCAGACACAAATTGCGCCAGGTTATTCATCACAGTTTGCACCAGGCACACTCTGTCCTTCATGCACCAAAAGGGATGATGCAGTTACTGGTTGATGATGTTGCTGAATCATTGGTGAGGGATTGTTGTACCTTCTGGGCTTTTAGACTTTCTAAAAACCATTCCTAAAATGGTTATTGAAATTGCTTTTCAACTTTATTTTTGGGTGAGACCACCTTTCCTAAAATATTATTTCATATTGAAATGAATAATTTTTAATGATAATAAAAAGAGAAAAATTGTTAGACTATTTTCACAGCAAACTTTATTGTCTGGTACCATTAGAATTTACTAGAAAACCCTGTAATGCACTGACTCATTCTTTGAGTGAAAATAATAATGGAAAAAAGGGGCAAACATGGATAAAATGCCCACAATAAGACAGTATCAAAAGGATGGTTTTTCCCTTGACACTGCTATTATTTTAACTACCTTCACTATTGTTTTCAAAAGTGATGACTAGAATTGTAATAAAACCTAAATATATGAAAGTAAATTTATACATTTTCTTTGTTCTAGAGAATTGACAACAAAAATAATAAACACTATTAGATTGTTTATTTACACTATTATTTATTGTCATAGTTGGCAAAACATTGGCTAATTGATTCAAACTTTATATAATGGTAAAAAATAAGGATTTCCTTATAGATTTCCTTATATTTTAATAATTTAGTAAATTTTATAAATAAAATATTGTTTTCAAATGTTTTCTTTATAAATTGGTAAAGGATAAATATTGAATTATTAGTTCTAATTGTATTATGTTTTTAGAATGTTGTAAATATAAAATTCATCTAAATAAACAATAATAAATAAATAGTGTTTAATATTTTTGTTGTAAATTTTCAAGAAGAGAAAAAATGTATAAATTAATTTTCATCATATGTTTAGGTTTTATTCCAATTCTAATCATTGCTTTTTAAGCCAATAAACATTGCTGAAGAGTGTAGGTAGTTAAAAAATCAGTGTCATCGGAAAAACTGTCCTTTTGAAACTTCATCTTATTGTGGGCATGTTTATCTATGTTTACCAAAAAAAGATTTTCATTGAATTTACTCCCTTGCAGCTTACATTATCTTCTCTATTATATTTTATGCACCCAAATTTTTTACTCATATGCAAATACCGTCCTGGGTATGATGATCAACTACATCTGTGTCCTGGGTAAGACGATAAACTACGTCCAACAGCAAGGCCTCTGATCAGGAGGTTTTGAGGAGCGTGGAACCACATCTTAATTGCTGGTGTTTTCAGGTTCACCCTGACCTGGGGTGGTAGCACCTGTTAGGGTCCCAGCTATGGGCAAATAGTTAACACCCAAACTTGTGTAAAAATAGGTTTTAATACCAGAAATACTTTGTAATAAAAAAAATTATTACCAGCAATATTTTTTGAAGGAAAAATTATCATCAGCAATACTTAAAAAAAAATACCGGCAATACAAACAGCTATACATTCTTTGGAAAAAATATGACCAGCTATAAATTTATTCAAGGAAAAATATTCCCAGAAATAGATTTTTGAAGAAAAACATTACCAGCAATAAAAATTTTGTTGGCATTAAATAACCCATTGAGGTTGATAAGCCGTAAAACAAAACAAACCAAACTAATCATAAATAAATAAAGGAATAGTGCTCTATAATTAGTGTTGAATACTTAGTTCCCTTGAAAAACAATTTCTACATTCAACATGAATGCCAATCACACATTATTATTCAATTGCAAATTCATTGTATCACTTAGCACAGTGATTCTCAATGTTTGCCCGATAAAAATGGTTCTGGAGTTGACCTAAGGAAAATAGGTGGCTTTGAAATTCAATTTTTTTTTCCGCTGGTGTAAAATTATGAAAAAACAAACTGCTTTAATTTATTTTTAAAGGCAAATAATTCAGAAATTATTTATTCAAAATTTTCAATTTTTTCTTCTTATAATCATATTTTCAGATTGATTTGAAACATTTTTTTTTATTGTGTAGTGTTAGAAAAACTATTCATTTAATTTATTTTTCCTTTATTTGAAACTAGCATTTTTGATGCATTTAATGTGAGTTATGAAGATAAAATATGACAGAATTAATTAACAAAAATGTTATTTTAGTTTTTGAAAGCATTGCTTTATTATATCAGCATTGTTAAACCACATTAGTTATAATTTATCAAACTATTTTATTTACAGGCAATGTCCATTTTAGATTTTATCATCTGATATGGTTAAAATTAAATTTAAATTTCCTTCCTTCAATTGGTTTAGTCAGGATTTATATTATCTGCTACATTTTGCTTTTGTAAATAAAATGTCTTTCCTGTAACATGGAATTTCTATTTGTGCTTATGTGGGCCTGAAATTATTTGACACTAAAAAGGGGACACAAGGAAGAAAAGGTTGAAAAATACTGACTTAGCACATTTTAAATGTACTTTAATTAAATACCTCAGACTACAATCTACTATAATTTGTTATTTAGAGATTATATACCTGATAATCGTTTCTTATGAGTCTTTCAAATTTAATTGTATCACTTCTTTTTCCACAATCATAAAATCCTGTTGTTACTGGAACGAATAAGTGACTTCATTTAAATGTTTCATTATTTTTCCTTATTATTTCTTTGTAAGTTACTAATACTTTTAAATCAGAATCTTATTCAATTCTAAATTAAAATAATTATTAACCCATATTGTTAAAGATTCAGTTTTTTTCATGTTTATTTTTCATTAGGCGGAAACCTTTCCTGAATGTTTCACAAATATCCAGCTCGTAAGTAATTTTTTTTTTGTGTTGTGTTTGTTTCTATTTTTTTTTTAAGTCTTTTTTATACTTTTAAAAGAAGAATAGGAAATATAATTACTGCAGTTTTTTTCTCATTATATTTTATTGATAAGTCAGATATGTATCATAATATATCCATTTATCATGTTTGTAAGATGCAATAAAAGGACAGAATTGTTTGCTTAAAATTCTTTCTTAACTTTGATATCTTCACTACATTTGTAATTTATTGAAAAGAAATTGAGGAATGTGAACAAAAATATTACTTTGGAACAAAATAATTTCTGTCTGAATTTCTGGGTTGAGGAATTATCATTATTTACTTGTTTACATTTGGTTCCGTATTGTTCTCTGCAACAATAGCCTGGATGATTAAAGTGTTGGCTCATGAATTTGGTGACATAGATTTGATATAGTGGGAACAGTGTGAGCAATAACTAGTCAGTACTAAATAATGATATACTGAGATATGAACAGCAAAACAAGCACAGTCTACCCTCATAGATTAAATAAGGAGTTCAGTTTGAAAATCTCTGAAGTTTACCTGGATCAACAGACACCTGAAGAAGGCCAGAAAGCACACTGGTCAAAATATTGTGAATAACAACAAAGAGGAGGATATTAGTGTGTGAATAATGTCAATAATGATAACTCTGTATCCCAGAAATTCAGACAGGGTTTTGTCATAATTTATTTGTTATGGCATAAATAAGTAGAAAAGGCAGAAAAAATGGGCTCCTGTTTGATATTTTATTTAACCATTATGCATTATTCATGAATATTACTACCCCTTACACTACATATTGGGAGCTCTCCCCCCTCCCCAACTGTAAACAAAGTTACCTTAGATTTTAAAGTAGGAAAGTTGGTTCACTGTGTCATGCCAGAAAATCTTTCTCATCAAAATCCATCTTATAAATATACAATCATCAAAAATTTAAATTATTGTCCTTTCTTCTTCTCTTTAATTCCCAGTAACCAAATGCATCCTGGTGGCATTATCTTCTCGTTTGGTGTGAAATGATTAAAAGAACTACAAATAAAAAAAGTCAGTTTCTCTGATTCATATCATTTCAAAAATTCTGTGCTTTCCAATTCAAATACAGCTTATCAATAAAGTGTATGTAAAATGTATCATGTACAATAATACATTTTATATACAATTTATTGATAAATTGAGGTATTTGAATTGGAAACATAAAGATGGGCAACAAAGATTGGAATGGATAAGAGAGACAATGAGAAGATACAGGCAAATGAGATTAGCCAAAGCATGAGATTATGGAAAATCTTAATTTTTTTTATCAACTTTTGGAATTCACGCTTAATACAGCTATTCTTATTTTCTTAATTTTTGAAAAGAAAAAAAAGTGGGATCAAATTTTTAGTGACTGATATTAATGAACATCATTATTTTTCAGTATATAATACACATTTGTTCCCATAAAAAATTGCAGTTCAAAATTACCTCTCAATAATCATAAATAGTACAGGTTGAGTATCCTTTATCCGAAAACCTCCAAAGTCTGAAAGTTTTTCAGGTGCTTACATGACTTGTCACAAATGGAAACTTTTAGAAAGCAACATGGCATTGCAGCATTACAAATAAAATGCTGACTTTTTTTTTTCAGTTTTCCTTACATTAAACTGTAATCAGAATCCATATTTTGTTTTTATACAAATACTGTACCTGTATGTATTGTAACATCTTAATCAAAACAATGTTGTTGGTAGAGACTGATAGCTTATCAAATTTTCCTTCTCTCACTCGCAGTGATGTCTTCAATGATGTACCCTCTCCCTACAGTAGAAGTAGTGTTTGGTGTTGCATTTATATAATTTTTGTAAGTAGTGATCATGTTTTTTTTTGTACATGTACAGAAAGTACAAAACATATTTTATTAAATTTTACATGAAACTACTTTCGGTGTATATTCTATTTATATAAAACTGCCTTCAGGGTGTATATATATATATAAGCTGTGTTATGAAATGTAAAGAGATATTGTATTTATGCTTGGGTTCCATTCCCAAGCTGTCCCATTTTATAGATGCTATATACAAAATAAATAGCCTGTATTCCAAAATCTGAAAAAAAATCTGAAAACCAAAGCACTTCCAGTTCTAAGAATTTTGGATAAAGGATTTTCAACCTGTATATTGTGTGAATGAACATATTTAGGATACCAATTTCTTTTCTAATGTTTAAGGAAAATTAAGAAAATTGGTGTTAAATTTTTCATAAGGCCTGAATATTGCCTGTCTTATAATTCTTCATTGTTTATTGCAAGTGTTTGTGTTTTAGATAATTTTCTTACCCTTTGATATAAATTTTGTATTTCAGATCAAAGATGTACTCAACCAAACAGAAGTGAAATACTTAGAAATGTTACAAGATGGTTATCAATCTTTTGATAAACTAATGAACAAAATTGGATCAGATAAATTATTACCCGGTTTGTTTGTTTCTGTTTTTCAACTCTTTTTACTATTGAATTTCTGGAAACCAAATTTGGCCATTTTTGTTGATTAATAATTTGTTTATTCTTAGTTTCAACATAAGGATAGAAATGGTATTCTATTTTCTTTCTGTTTTTCTTTTTAATTATGATATTCTTTCCTACTTACAACAATGTATGGTTTTATATTGGTAGATAGGCACTGTAGTGAAAGAAAAAAGTGGCTATGTTAGGTTCATCTAGAATAGTAGAGTTCAGTACTGGAGCATGTATCTGTCTAAAGAGTTCTATGGTATGTGATTCATGCCAGAAGACACCAGAGGTCTGAACTGAATTTAATGTTCATCAGGAAGCTTGATTTACAAAGATTTCTTTTTAAAATTTGTTAACCAGATTACTGCAAGTGAAAGAGAATGAATAGCCTTTAGGATGAACAGGAAACCCAATCTTAAACAGGTAACAAGGGATAGACCTCTACTCCTGTTCAAAAGACCAGGAAGGAGTGTGAACTGGATGATAGGCAAACCTATCTACTCCCATTGAGCAGAGAAAAAATAGAAAGTAAATAACTAGTAGATAACATTTTAGAGTTGAAACGGAGATGTTAAAAGTCTACAGTTGAAGTAGACTTTAGAATGCACTGTGTTCGCTCTAAGTGATGCCTAAGTTTTGTATTTGGTGTCACCTTCATCTTGAAATGGAGCCCTTGAAGTTGGCTGAGAAGACCAGAAGTTCTTTTATATTATATTGTATATTCTCATGCACTTCCTGCTTGAGGAACCCTTGACTTTTTGCTTTCCAGTCAATTCTGATCTTCAAAAATTTAAATGCAATGTCAATCGTTATCTTTTCTCTTTTTAATTCTTGTTCTTTTATTTGTTCTCTCTCTTTAATAATTTTTTCTTTTTCTCATATTCTTCTGCACTTAATAAACCCCTTGTAGGTTTTATTGTCTTGCTTGGAATAATAAAAAAATTACCTCAAAGCCATACTTCAAAATACAAAATCAGGCCACTAAGGATGTTGTTGGGTGGTACCAATGATAAATAACAAATTGAACCCAGTTGAACTTAGGATATACACATACAAGACAACTGGATAACAGTAAGTTATATAAATGCTCACCATATGATGGGAGAGGCAGTATCTCACAAAGAGAAGATTGGATGTTCAAAGAAAGACCTAAAATCACATACCCTTGATTCAGCTAATGTTAATTTGACAGAATCCAGAAGTAAATAAACAGTTGTTTTATCTATGAAAAAATTAGTTTCATATTCTTATTAGATGTTACTATCATATTGTTACAATTATTTTTATCTTCAGTCATCATCATCAGTGTAGTGACTGAAATAAGAGATTATTACAAACCTTCAGCAAGTCGTTTAACATAACCCATTTAGATATTAATGAAGTTCAACACTAATTAAATAATGAAATGGGGACTGGTGCTTTCAGTATGAACTGATTTTATAATCTTTCTTGAAATCATCCTATAGTGTGCATTGATGAATACGAAATCAAACATTAAAACATAGCCACATCACCTTGAAACACTGAAGTTAAGCAACATTGAGCCTGGTCACTACCTAGATGGGTGACCTCTTGGGAATACCAGGTGCTATAAACTTGGATGAGTGGGTGGTGTAACTGATAATGGCTTGGAATTGTTAATCTGAGAGCCGAGTTCCAATTCTCATTGGGTTCGTTATGTTCACTTATGTGCAAATACTCTTGGGAAAAGTATGAATCCACCTCTTGGCTATGTGTTAATTATTAAGACTTGTATCACTAAGACATTATTATCTTAACAAAAAAGATTCTTACAATCTAAAAATATTTTAAATAACCAGCAAAGGGTTAATAAACCACAAAAAATGAATAAAAAAAATCAATAAACCTGAACTTATCCCAATTAGTCTTTCTTTCAAAATTGTATTTTTAACAGTTTTTGTATTTGTTAGTAACTTCCCTTCAGCTTTTTAATACTCGTTTGTAGAATATTACAACCGGTATATCCAGCATTTTTTATTTGCAGTTTGATAAAAGGAAACAAGAATAATCTTGTTTGCAATAAAATCATTGTTTATTCATTTGATCAAATGCCATAATGACGTCTGTAATTACATCCTCTAAATGCTCTTGATTTCTTACATTCTTTTGGCACAATTTCTCTATAAATGTACTTCATTGATCAGGATATTCTCAGCTCATTAATTGCCAACACTTGTGTGTAAGCCATGTTTTTTTTCAGTTTAATCCATTCCTTAAGTATGTACCTGGTAAGATCTTGTGATCAGGCTTTGATCTTAAGCTGCTAGAATAAATCCTTTTGTTGCTGGTTTCAACTAAGACCTCAGCAACCATTAATTTGTTATTATTTTTCTGTTAAACTATTTATCTACCTTTTTTTTTTAATAATAATGATGATTATGTCATCTAAATGTCTAGGATAAAGTGCTGGTAATTATATTAATTAAAATGTCTTGAAAACAAAACAAATTACATTAATTTTCTGTAGAATATTGTAATTAAAAGAAAGAGGAGAAAAGTGATGAAGAAGCAAGGATTCCATAGAGTGGTTGGAAAAGTTGAGGGATTCCTGGTTTGTGTCTTTTTAAAGAGTTTATAATTTTTCATTTCATCTTAAAGTTTATTTTCTTTTTCCTTATGTTGGTTCCATTTGATGTGGAATGACTGCTAAAAAACATCCCCACTCCAAATTTATAGACAACTACAGATGCATGCTGGGATTTCTTCCTAACCAATAAAATAGACCACTTCTCAGTCTCATCTACCATATTTTCTTTCTTGTCTTGAAGTCAGAATACTACAATCATTTCACTGTATCCCTTTTTTGTGTGGACACCATTCATATTTTTTTAACCTTTTTGTCTTTGTGCTTTGCCTGGTTTTGACTTGTATATATATATATATATATATATATATTGTTTGCTTAGTATTATTTTTTGCCTGTTCTTTTTCTTTCTTTTGTTATTGTTTATTGAAAACTTTGTCAATTTCATTTGTTATGCATTTTTGCTAATTACTATACCCATTATATTTTCTTTTCATTTATTTTTCAGAACATCTTTTGCAAGTTGCTGAAGGTCAGTTTGGAAGGTGTGTACCTTTGGATATTTTATGCAACATTGCCCTGGAGAGAGGACATAGCATTGACGTAGAGACCCTGATGGACAACTACATCAAAGAACAGGTATTTGGAGGTGATTCCTACCATTTACTTTTTGTGCATGTTTGCTGTATCGAATTTTAATTTAGACAGTGTTGTCATCTTTTGTTTTAAGCTTACAGTTATTTGTCTATCATTATTAAATATAGATAAAAAAGCTTCTGGGAATGCTGTAAAAGAAAATGTTTTTTTATAGCAATGATGAGGATGGTGTTGGACCTTGTTAAGGTTCGCAATATATGTAACAATCTTTTACAGTTATTACAACCTGGCAGTATTTATGGGAGATTGGTTTATCAAAATGATCGCTCATTCACACTCTTAGCTATCATCCATTATGGTATGCCAGATACAAGACTTGTTTACTTAAGGTATCTACCAATAAAGCAGAGTGCAGGGAGAATTGGTTTCATGCTTTCTCAACAATATTAAATGAACACAAGCAGCTTCTGTTGAAATTTGAACAGGTTTTGCAGATTTTATTTTCTGTGATGTTAACCATTATATTACTTTGTACCTTCAGTTAGTACATATACAGAATGCAAGAAGTAGGTTCATGCCTTTCTGAAGAGTATTTATACTGTGTGAAGAGAAGCATCCTCGGCTGAAATTCAAGCATGGTTTGTAGATAAACATAATGCTACTTCATATTGCTTCTTTTCAACTGCACTCTCTTATGAAATTAGAGTTGCCATGTTTTACAGACTAAGATGCAAAGTATTAAGTCAGTTATGGAAACTAAATTTGACCACAAGGCCAACCCAGTAAAGGTTGAATTCACTTGCAATGGCTTACAAAATGAGCATCCTAACCTACTCATTATGACAGAGATTCAAATATTTGTAAGCCTGCTCCAGATAGATGTGTGGCTGGTGTGATGGATAGCAACACAGATTGAGAAATCAGAGAGCTGCAATTGAATTTCAATTGGATTTGTTACATTCACTTGGGAAAGGTATGAATCCATTTCCTCCTTCAGCTATGGGTTAAATAGTAGGACTTGTATCTGGAAAATTTGTTGTTACTCTTAAAAAAAATTAGCAAAAGCCCACAAAAGCATCAAATCTGAAATTCCACCTTGGCTAATAAAACAACCAAAAATAATACCAGTCCAATTATATACCAAGAAGAAATAATCACCATTAAAAGATAATCACCCAGATCACTTATATATACTGACAGATCAATAAATAGAAATAAAGAGAGATATGCTGCCATCCTCATCAAAGTAAAACTAATAAAATGGTTCACAGACAAAGACTAAATATACAGTGCCAAAATCTCAGTTACTGACCTAGCATTTGACAAACAACAAACACTATAAAGTCATCATTTTCAGACTCCATGTCAACACTTATAGCTCTAAAAAACAAGAAAGCAACAAACCCACTAACTACTAAATTACTAAATACAATGTCTTTCAAGACAAACCAATAGCATCATACTATGCTGGATACCAGGCCACATTGGTATACAGGGTAATGAGAGTGCTGATTCAGAGGATCCAAAGAAAGCACTAATCCAAATAGCTTATACTTATTTCAAGGTTACCACAAATAAATGGCAGTGTAGCTGACCAGGGGTTTATGTGTTGTTAAATTAGGAACATGTGCATGTGCTAGAAAAAGGTCCGCTACAAGAACATGGCGGACTCAGAAATTGAATTCAGCATAAAGAAGTGTAAAGAAAACCAACAAGACCAATATATATATATATATATAAACATGTATATGTATTAAACAAGAAAATTTACAATGGACATAGACATTAACATTTGTGTTTGTGTGTGAACATAAAGGGTTTGTATTTTGATGAATGTTCGTACATATGTGTATGTGTGTTTCATGGCATTTTCCCACTCGTGGGCAAAACGCAGATCTCTGTGAGAGATCACATTTTGTAAATGTGTCCACTGAAATGCAAAGTAAAAAAGAGAACAAGGCAAGAAGTCGCCCAGTATTTATGGTGTAGGGAGAGCAACCCCTAGTGAACAATTTGGACAATTAAAGAGGAGTTAACTCTGACAGCAGGAGTGTTGGAGATCTAACTCAGACAACAAACTTTATAGCATCATAGCAGAGTGGAAATTAGAAGACAAAAAGATAATAAAAGATTAGGTTGTGTTGACCAGACTCCTTAGAGGTCATACAAGATTACATATAATCACTTACTGAAAATGATGTACTGCATGTTAACATGTACTACATATCAACAACAATAAACAGTGTAACATGTCCTAATGATTTGGAAAGGACTAAACCCAATTTAAACACAATATTACCAAATAAATAACTTAAAAGAACTCTTTAACAAAGTCAACCCATCCAAAATAACCCAATTCCTAAAAGGAGACAGATTTGACATGAAAATATAATCTCAAAATCATAAACACCTTATTTTCTTACACTAATTGTAAAACTTTCTACCTAAACTCTGACTTAACTACTTTATTTTTTTTTTTTATTCTTCTGAATCTTTTGAATCATATTCCAACCCTTGATTTCTAATACTAAATAACTGTCCATAAACCAACCAAAGAATAAGATTGCTCCAACTTAACCACTCACATGAAATATACTCTGAGGAATGAACTCACTAGAACTGGCTGGTGAGATGATACCTTGATATGATCCCCCCCCCCCACTCCTTGACGACGTTGTTTTAAATTCTCTGTTTATGTTCTCTGTTTTCTTGGCAGCAGCAGATCAGCTCTGCAGAATCTGTCATTGTCAAAGACAAAGATGTCATCAAACATGATTTAACGATATTGCTGAAAGATCGGGTAATCAAAAGAACTGATGATCATTTTAAATATCTCTACAAAAGAAATGAAAATGGATATGGTGAGTTTGGTCATTTTCAATTCTTGTTTCTTTCCTGCTTATGGGAATTCATAGAATGTTGGGTTCCACTATCTTTCCAAAGAAGACATGACAATTCACTTATAATAAAGAAAAAAATCTATTGAGAGTCATGATTGCCCATATCCTAAAGGGTGGTTGGGTTACAATTGACGATTTTCTCTCTTTCGTTGAGATAGTCACATGGGTCATGTGATGGCTAGTGAATGATGTCAGGAGATAGATTTATGAAAAGCAGTTGTAATATAGAGCCCATAGAAGAATGATGTCACTATCCCACAGCAGTAGGCATCACAGGAAAAACCATATGGCCTAACCAAGTTTGTAGAGAAACCACTGTAACTCCATTTCTTGTTGCATATATGTTATAATTTCAAATATACGTGTGCCTCTGGCACATGTATATGTGTATATATCTAATTTTGTTTACGATGTTGCATTATAAGAACTTTCTAAGAACTAAGCATGTTTCTTATTCTTTTTCCATTCAGCTATTACATTATGTCCATGAAATATCAGTATTGCTCTATCATGGATATAGCAATGCCCATAATGGGAGAAACATAAATGGGAGAATATATCTTTCTTCCTTAGCTCTCCTCCCATCAATGGGCCTTCTATATACTGTCTCTCTTCAGGATTTGGTGATCATGGCTCTCTGCAATTTCCTGCCCTTTGTAGCTCATAGTAAATTTTGTCTTTTTGCTATGTCTTCTAATTTTTGTTCTGCCAACCATTTACAGAAGGTCATTTAGTAGCATTTATGCACTGCTTTCCTCTGTCTCTCTTGACTTCAATATGTCTTGTCAGTGTGTACAGAAGAAAATCATGATATACTTTGAAGCCCAAAATGCTTTTTGTGTTGTATGCTACTTTTGCATGGGTAGGGGGGAAAAAAAGAGAAGAAAGAAAGAAAAATGTTCCATCACTGAATAAGGGCAATGAGCTCATGCAAATTAGCTTCTGCTAACCAATCAGGTTTCAAGTGTCACTGAGTGGAATGGATTGCATAAAAAAATATGCTAATCCACTTCTATGCTCCGCTCATAGATAACCTTGAAAGGGTCCACCAAACTACTATAGAAGCAACTGACTTTTTCCTACCTTGCATTTTTGCGAGGAGGCTGCATGTGTGTACGTGGAGATTGGAACTCTGTGAACATTTGTTACATACAGTGTCAAGTTTTCCAAGCCCTCTTTCCTCATTATTTCCCCCTAGAAAATTAAATTGTCTCTTTCTGAGTGTTCTTTTTGCTTTCAATTTTTATAAAACTTTGTCATTGCTCACATGTTCCAGCCATGGTATTCTCAGCATTCTTCTGTAGAACCACATTTCTGTTGCCTCAAGTCTCTTCTTTATTTGTGATATGGCAACTAAACATAATAAAATATCTGTTGTGAGTCATGATTGCCTATGTCCTGAAGTGACATGGTCTTAAAAAAAGAATTCTAATAAAAGTATCTAATCTGGTCATCTGTTTAATTTTTTTTCTGAAAAAAAGATTTAATATTCAAATACTTGTCTTTCTTGATGTTTTTCTATTAAAGTATTAAGAATAATCTAAAATATTATTTTCAGAGTTTATCTCTTCCATACCAGACAGTAATGTTTTGTGTTTGCTGCATGATGGCCAACTGAGTGACAGCATTAATACAGGTGAGAAAGGCAGTCTGGTATTGGACAAAACTTGTTTCTATGCTGAAGGAGGAGGTCAGCAGCCAGATAAAGGGTACATTCTGGGACAGGTGGGTACCAGATTTAAGATATTAGTAAAGAATTAGCTTTATTCAATTCATTATGCATTGTGGTGTCATGGATATTGGCTTGGAATGAGAACTCGGAGAGTCGAGTTTGAATTATAGTTGGGAAAAGTATGAATTCATCTCTTCTCTCCCCCTAGCTATGGGTTGAATAGCAGGACAGATTGTGTCCTATAGCCTTGGTTGGAAACAAGTCTACCACAGAAAGAAATGGCAACCTACTGTGGGAAAAAATCTTCTGCCTATTCAGTCATGTATCAAAAGACACATGATCACCAAAGCATGTATCACGCATGGTACTTAACCGGTTGGCTATTACTTTCCTCATTTTTGGTGGTCTTATCATGAGGATGGTTGAAAAATTTGTAGAGTAATGAAAATATTTATTTGAATTTCTGAGATGAGGTGTTATCATTGTTTATAATGTCTTCATCCTTGTGGTTTGTATCATAATATTTTGGCAATTGTGTCTTCCACCTTTTTTTGGGTGCCTGTTGCTGGGTAACCTTCAAACTATTTCAAATGGAACTCTTTATTTAATCTATGGGTATAGAGTGTTCTTATTTCACTGTATATGTCTTGAGATTTCTTGTTCTTTATTTTTAGTATTTCTCAGTTATTGTTAGTCCTGTTTCTACTAAATCTGAGTCTCTACTACCCAGTCTGGGGATTGAACTCACAATTACTATATTGCTAAGTTCCCAAACCGATGCTTTAATCCTCTAGGTTATTGTCCCTCAAGACAATCCTGAATGCAAAACTAGGAATCTTAAACCTAATGTTCTTAGTCGGCTTGGTGTGATCACTGCCTTGCTGTCATTCTTGACCACCTTTGCCTGCAACTTCTTTTTCTTACTGCTGCCACAGAACAATCTATATCAGTAGATTAAATAAAGGTTTCTGTTCAAAATTTCCTGTAAGTTACCCAATTCATCCCACAATTCCCTCTCTTTGTTCATATATAATGAAGTGTTTTACAGTCTTTGACCATTATTTGAAATTTATAAGCTATATTTGTGAGGTGTTTGTCAATTATTTCAATCACTTTGTATGTGTTGCTTGCTGTATGACTATATATGTATGAAAATATCTAAACAAATATTATTTAGTTTCATAAAGAAAATCATATTCTTTTTTTTTTCTGTTTTTCTTCACTTCTTCAGAATGGTAAATTCTGTGTGCTTGATGTCCAGTCATGCAATGGTTATGTGTTACATAATGGATTTGTTGAAGAAGGAAGCATCAACTGCCAAGAGAGAGTGAAACTTGTTTTGGATGAGGTAACTTGCCAGGCAATTCTGTCAATCTTGATATCTGTGTCCTTTAAACATCATCTTTATTTTTTTTTCTCTTTAAATCAATCATGTTTTGTCATGAGTCCTATAGCACATTAGAACATGTGCTGTGGCCATAGCAGCAGTGGTGTGTCTAGGGCAAGATAGCTCTTCAGGCTGGGTTTTAAATGTTAAAAATTCTCCTAGACTGGTTGCCACTTTAAGGCAAGAGAGCCCAGTCTGCCCATAGCAGGTGAAGAGATAGTTATATCTTTTCCAAGAGTATTAGTGCAAAAGCTAATATAACTCTGACATAATTTGAACTTAACTTGCAAATTTGTCTTTCCAAGTTACTAACCATTACACTATCCACACATACATTAATAAATATACTGATTGTTCCCCCAAGATGTAGGACTTGAACCTTTCCAAAACAGAAATTATAATCTGAAATTGGAATGAAAGCATTGATGCCACCTACTCTGAATCCATCTCCATCCAGGGCATGACAATAAACTACATCCAGCAACACGGCCTCTGATTGCAGGGGTGGTGTTGAGGAGTGTGAAACCACCTATTCCCAGGTCCACTCTGACCTTGTAGCACCTGTTAGGATACCAGCTATGGGCAAATAGTGAACCCCTTAAATGGGATCAATACATTATGAAAGTATAAAAACATAAGTAATATTAGAAAATTTAACTCCAGCATTAAATGACCCATCTTTCTTTCTTTTTATGTGCCATGTCCTTTCAGGACGTAGGCGATCATGGCTCTCCACCTCCCTCTATCCCTTGCAGCTCTCAGCAAGTTCCTTCCCTCTGCTTCCTCCCTCAGACCATGTTCTGTCATCCACCTGCTCAAGCTTGGCAAGTATGTCATGCACTGCTTTCCCTTGTCTCTCTTTCCCTCTATTTAACTTGTGAGTATTAGGTTCTCCAGGCCCTCCTTCCTCATTATGTGTCCCAGAAACTTCAGCTGCCTCTTCCTGATGTTAAGTATAAGCCTTCTCCTTGTTTGCAACCTCTCTAAGACCTCATTGTTGCTCACACGCAAACCAACAAACCAAGTGAATCCATCATAAAAATACAAGGTATGGAATTAATAAATATAAAACATTTCAAATACCTCAGTGTATGGATCACTTATAACAAATTTAATATAAGAGATAAAGAAATTAAACACAGAATAGGCTGTCCTAAGGATAGTTCCACCCAACACTGTAAGATGGTAGAAAACCAAAACATTAACCTATGAACTTGAGTCATGTTCTTAAACAGCCTTGTCAGATTGAAACATTTATATGGATGCTAACTGTATATCACCACTTTCTGAGATCAATGATTAAAATGACTTTGAGCTAATGATGCCTGTATGTCTTGGAGAGGACCCTCATTTTTCAAACCTTGTGGACTGGTGTTACAGAACATGACAGAAACCACATCAGTTAAAGACTTTTAACAGTAGCAACAAATAAAATAGCACATGTAACGTGAAATCATGATATGAAGATGTTCCATACTACTTCAAACAAAAGGTTAGGAAGTAAACTCCAATCAATGCAAGAAAGAGCAATAACAATGAGCTTGAGAAACCTATTTCTCTGAAAAATTGTTTTAATAGAAAAATATTTACTAATAATGCCAGTTGTTTCTTATGCATTATTATTGGGACATTTTTTTCCACCCCTAAAAAATATATTTAAAAACATATTGGCTCAAAACAGTAATACTGAAATTTTCATGAACTTATTAATATATATAAAAAAGAAAATATTAAAAACTAGTGACCCTATTGGAAAGCATTTAAGTTAGCACCTATGGAGGCTCTTGATTAGGTCTTCATCACAATAGGTAGGGGAGGAGTAGATGCGATAATCAAAAGCAAACTACAGAAATCAAAATTGATTTAAAAAAGTTCAACAATAATTCTTCTGCCACCACTTAATTTAAATACATAGATCTTTACTCTCTGTGCAAACAATTATTTTTATTTCATGGGTGACTTTCAATAGATTTCACAATTAATTTCAACTGTTCCAAAATTTATTTCCAAGTTATAAAAAATTGTTATTGTACAAAAAAATTTGTTGCAAAAAAATTATGTGAAAATCGTTGAAAACAATCTTTGTAATAAAAACTTGGGAATCTAAAATTTCAGGGTTGGGGGTCCACATCTGGCCCAGAATGGTTTTAATTTGCCATTGGAGTCTGCCTGATTCCAAAATGCTATGCTATATTGGGCTATGGCCTCTAGAAGTAAAATTGAAAACACTGACAGTTTTAATTTGAAACCTTTTAATTTGAGAACAATAATTTTTTTCATTTGAACATGAGTTATTGAAAGTTAGAGAGTTGTGTCCCTTTAATTGTTTTTATCAGTAGAAGCCAAGATGGTGGAATCTGAAAACAGTCATAGTAATGAAAACTTGAGAATCCAAAATTTCAGGATTGCAGGTCTGGATCTTGCCCAGAATGTTTTTAATTTGCTCACAGAGTTTTGCTGGTATGATATGTTTGGCTAAAGCCTCTAAGGTAATGTTGAAAAGGTATGACACAATGACATTTGCATTTATTATATAGAATATTGTGCAACGGTCAAATGATTTAGGAGATTAAATGCTTTCTCTTATTTCCTGAAGGCAGTATATTTGTATTGTATCGTTAGGCATTAGGCTTTTTAATATTTTTGTTTTATTTTCAAAAGAGACTTAACTTGTATATGTCAGTATAAAGTAGTTAATTTTGTGCTTTTTTATTTTGTATGAAGGAAACAGATATTTGAAGTTTGTTCAAAGAATCATTCCGTATCTTTTTTTTATTTTTAGCCATTTTGACCTGTGCAAATCTAATAATCTTATGTGCTACTAAGTAAATTTGAGATCTTCTGTTTAAGATACTGTTTGTCCTTCAAAGAATCTCAAATTTGGTTAATTTGATTTCATTGTTTCATTTATAGATGAGTCTGAAATTTTCTTTGAGTTTTCCTTTTGCAAGAAACATTACAATCTGAGTTTTATTCAGAAGATCAAAAGTCATTTAAAAAAAATTACCTCTCAACAGGTAACAAACCTGTGTTCTTTTTTATACTGGGATAACTACTTTTAAGCTAGGTCCACTTTAACTGTATAAAGGGAAGGTAGGCTTGATCCCTGACTAGAGGTACATTTTCTTTAATAAGACTTTCAATTGCCAAGACCAGTAGTTGTCAATTTCACTGTTTAAAAAAAAAAAAAGAAATGTCTACTTAAGCACATGTACCCACTAAATATATGTTTATAGTTATACAAAACAGTTATATTTTTTTAATCCATTAAAAAAAAATTGCTTAAAAATTACTTTCAGAAGAGTAAATATTTTTGGTGATTTGAAATTAGCTGTGCCTTTTTAATTGGAGCATTGAACTGGAATTGAACTGAAAGACATAGAAGTTACATAGGATATGCTGTTTGGTCTGTGATACTATAGACACCCATTTAGAAGGGGGAAGAGGTGGTTTTTATCTTGATTTTAAGCGTTTCTGTTTGATAGACCAGTGGATGGTTTCTTTTGATGTTCAGTTTTATAAGTGTCATCCACTTAACTGAAGGGAAATAAGTAAAGGGATTTTTGGGGATCAAGCAACAACAAAACTGAAAATAGGGTATATCCAGGTGCTGGTTCATATTAACAGTCAACAGTTAGGATCAGGGAGAGATCTGGTCTGCTTTTGGCAAGAGACAGATGGGTCCATGTTGCGGTTCAAAAACCTCCATTTTGTATTGCCAGTCACCATGTCAGGATGAGTAGATGGCTGAGGAGTAGGTCGAGGGAAGAGTTGATGTAGCAGAAGTTGTCCCAAGTGTCACAGAACCCACCCACCTGGATGAACAGGCAAAACCCTGAATAAACACCTACATAAAATATAGGTAGCAGTTTTTGTTCTTATTTTTTGATGTGGCATTTTTCTTTCATTGTGTTACCTTGTGAGCAGCTTTTGATAAACACCAATGAGATTGAGGATTGAAATTCAATGTAAGATGATCATTGGCCGGTTGGCAGTAATCTTGGGTGAACGTTGCATTGTATGTTTACTGGTTAATGTATATTTGTAAATGAGGAATTGTATATGCACCTGTGTCTATTTTGCAACATGGTTAATTATGCTTTTTAGCATTTGTCGCTAACAGTTGCTTTATCTCTTTCTTGCTTTACAAAGTCTGGAATATACAAGGGGGTGTTGATAAATTATTAGCCTGATCCATTCCCCCAAATCTGATGAAATAATCAAACATTAGATCTTTTTTTAAAAATTTATTTCTGGAATGGCTTATTGATTAGACAAAGAACTTTTTACTTTTCTCCATTTTAGATATAGGAAAGAAAATTCAAAGTTCGCTGAAGCATAGCAGTAGAATAATTTGGATAGTTCTGACAAATGTATTGTTGTTATACAATGACTGGACACTATCAGAGTTTTCTTGAATTCAATCTTGAAAATTGCTAGTCTTGTTTCACAGCCAAGATTGCTTTTCTTTCTTGTGCAATGAGGTGGGGTTTGGAAAAGTTCTTGACTCAACTAAGAGGACCTTCCCCACAAAAATTTTGTTTTTTGGTCATTTAGATTTTGGGAAGAGGATCAGGCCAGTAACTTTTCAGTATCTCTCAAATAATATAACAAAATCCTATTAAGGGGTGTTAACCATTGAAATTGTCAGCTTGTATCTGTTATTATTACTGGTTTTAATGATATCACTGTAATTGTTGTTGATGTTCTCTTTTGTAGGAGGTGAGAAAAGCTTGCATGGCCAACCACACTGCAACCCATTTACTAAACTGGGGTCTCCAGAAATTATTAGGCACACAAGTCACCCAACTTGGCTCCTGTGTGCAAGAAGACCAGTTAACTTTTGATTTTTCCTGCTTTGTAAGCTTAATTTTTTTAAAAATTACTTTTTATTTTATATGTTAATTAAATTTGTCATTACCTAGATTGCATTTGTTTTTGTGTACTCTAAAGTGGGTTGAGTGTTGGAGATGTTGTAATTTAGATTTTTATAAAAGATTCTTTTAAACGTTTTTAAAAATCTATCAGCCTAAGAGGTTTCAATTGTTAAATCCCTTGAGTCCTGACCAAATTGTTGAAAAATCAGAACATGTGACAACATTAGATTGATATAGCTCAAAAATCGTAGGAAAATCAAGTCTTACAATTTTATGTGAAAGTAAATTAATTTCTCATTCAAATAATACATGTCGTCGCTTCCCTCTTTCGTTTCTACAAATACTTTCATGGTAACTGCTCGGACAAGCTACTTTCGTTAGTTCCCAAACTGCATGAGTTTAAACGTGCTACTGAGTTGACATCTCAGTCCCACCCTTTGACTGTTGAAATGGTTAAATGTAGCTGTATCTTCTACTCTAATAGCTTCATGTCTTGCACTTCTCATCTGTGGAACTCCCTTCCTCTTACTTGCTTCCCTGATAGCTATAATCTCCAACTATTCAAATGCAATGTCAATCGACATTTCCAGATGCCTTGATCTATTCCCTGTTCTTTTCTTTATCCTTTCTTATATCACACCTCTTTACACTTGCTCTCATTCTCTGTAACCTCTTGCATGCTAGTGGCACTCCTGCCTTGCTTGGGATGAAATGCTTAAAAAAAAAAAAAATACCAAATTTAGCCTCTTTGGTATTACTGGTTATGAGATATGGTTTTGGAAATATATGACTTTTACACAGTTGTTGATTTCTAGTGACTCTGGTTGATCCTGTGATAAATCCATCTAAACTATTATAGTACATTGTAATAGTCGAGATTCTGGACTATTCAAGTTGCTTGGGGAGCAAGATGAAGATAAAAAAAAAACTGACATTGAAAAACTTCTTTTAATTTCTGTTTGAATTTCTAGGATCAGAATGGTTTACATTATCCACAGTTGGACTAATGTCCTCATCTTTGTTGTTATCACAATGTTTTGATCATTGTACCCTCTGGCATTCTTCGGGTGTCTGTTGATCCAGGTAACGTTCAGATAACAACAAAAATAAGAACATTAATTTGACTGTAAATAATGTAAATAATGAGTCTTATAAGCTGGCATATACAGTTAATCTTTTCTCTTTTTTTTTTAATCTCTTAACTACATTCAAAAATTTAAATGCATTGTCAATCGCCATCTTTCGTCTTCTTGAACTCTTTTCTTTTTTTTGTCTTTTCCTCAATCCTCCCCATTCTTAGTTTTCTTCTTCTCTTTCACTTTCACCCCCTGTAATCCCCTGCATTCTACTGGCATTATCGCGCCTTGCTTGGGGTAATATGTTTAAAAAAAAAAACAAACAATTCAACCTAAACAAGGCAATAATGCTACTAAGACATTGGGATTTAGTGAAAGTGAAAACTTTAGTGAGGAGAAAGGATAATAAAAGAGCATGCTCCAGTTAGATAGAAATGGTGATTGATGTTGCGTTTGAATTTTTGAAGATTGTAGGTGGTAGAGAAGCAAGAAACTGGAAGAGATTTCCATAGGTGAGAAAATAAATAATTGAAATAGAATTTATGGTAACATCTATTTCAGCAGTAAAATGAAGAGAGAAAGTTGCCAGTCTTGTTGTATGCTTAAATTCATGTGGTTGACATACCAAAGAGGAAAGCTTTTGTAATGATTTTTTAATGCTGCCTTTTCAAGATGTAAGCAGTCATGACACTCCACTGCTTCCTTTTCTTTATTATCTGCAAATTACTATGCATTCTTAGAGAAGATAAAACAGTGGTTTTTTTGTAGCTTTCTCCATGCTTTCAAATTCTGTGTTTTCCTTCTCTTAGGCATGTTGTGCCCCAAGACTATAGAGCCCATTCTACGCTACTATTTAACCCCTATTTAGGAGAAGAACAATTGGATTCATGCCTTTTCTAAAGACATTAGTGTTGTAACTGAGTTATCAAAAACAACAGTAGAAAACTGGAATTGGTTTAACAACAAATTTATTACCTTTTGGTACAGGGAAACATAATGTAGAATAGAAACAGGGGAGAATGTTTAGCCGTGAATGACTGTTTTCACTAAAGGCTACTGCTGTTACTGCTACTCCTTGGTGTAGGAGTATTTTTATTTCTTTCATTTGATGGCCGAGTGCAAACTTGTAGGGAAATATTCTCCTTCATAACAATTAACAAATGCAATTGACTAGCTTGTAATTTTAAATGATTACGTTAATTAACCTTTATCACTCTGTATGTGACTTCATTTGCTGTACAAAAAGTTTATCTTGCCACTGAAGGTGACTCTGATCCTCGAACAATATGTTTCATATTTGTGTTGTCATATCCTGCTATAGCAACAGAAAATAACTTTGAGTGAAATTAACAATAAGGATACTGCAACTGAGAAGCCATGAAAATGAATGCAGCGGAAAGGGAAGTAATATTAATAATGCAGTGTTCTAAAGGTTAAAAAATGAAATCTTCTTTAGACTCCATTATTTTTGGTGCTACAAGAGGGGAACTGATAATAAGTTATCTTAAGTAATACTAGGTTGGCATCTTTTTGTGAGTAAAAAGACTTTCTCTGTTCACTAAAACTAACCAGTATTACTTATCTGTCTTTCTCATTCTTCTCTTTTTTTCCTATATTCTGAAATAACACTGATTATTCTTCAGAAGAGGTTACTTACTTTTCATTAGTAATTTCATCTTACTGTTTAATCTTTTATGTTTATCAATAATCCTCCTTGATAACAGTTGATATAAAAGCTGCTTTCTTAAGAGGACTTACACAGCTTTTTTCTTTTGATTGAAATGTTCAATATATCTATAGTTTTTCACTCTATATTTCAGATTAGATTGGGTTAAATCCACAGAATATATAATTTATTTTTTACATAACTGCTCAGTTACTATATGCTTCTATTTTGGCTCATAATAGAGCATCATTAGTTTTTATAGACCCAAAGTGTCCACTGGCAATTTTCATCTGTCTGTTATTTTGGACTAACAGCGGACATCATGCTAAATGGTCAATTACAGTAGATTACTTATAGATTATTATTTTGAAGTAATTAAAAAAATAAAACTCTGAAATTAAATCTCATAAAATTCACTGAAATAAGAGGAAATCAAGCTTTAGGTTTTTTTAGCCATATTTTTGTTTTTTATTTAACAGGAAGAATTAAGTCTGGATCACTTGTCTGAGTTGGAAGAGATAATCAGGCTGAGCATCAAGCAAGGAATTCCTGTCTACAGATCAGAGATGAATATCACAGAAGCATTGAAGATTAAGGGTCTGACCATGGTACCTCATGAAGTAAGTTGATACTTATGTCTCTCTCTTTCATTTGCTCTAGTAGTAATGGTAATAATAGCCATTTCCCTACAAGGAAATAATTGGCATTCATTGACCAAGCAGCCATTACTGCTTTCAGTTGAAATTTATAAAATCTTTATCTTAAAACAATTTTTTTAGGAAAACAGGTTTCTCAAGTCCAGTAACTGTTATTGCTCTTTCCAGTATTAATGGAGGTTTTCCTTCCTAACCTCATATTTGAAGTGATGTGAAATGTTAACATCTTGATTATAGGGTTATCATCTTTTTGAGCAATCTGAAATTATGAGAAACTTATTTCTCTATTTTTTTCTTTTTTATTTCAACACACTCAAAGGTACTGCACTTACTGATGTATAAGATGCATGTTTTTACCAAAAAATTTAATATCAGAATCTGCTTGTGTTCCGTACACTGAAAGTATAAATAATATATAATATACACAAGCCATGTGCAAAACATGGGGGGAGATTTTGCTACAACCATTACAGGACAAAGCTATTGCAGAATGTGCTTCTAGTTAGATTAAAAGCATTGGCAAACAAAATTTACACATGTTGTTATTACTTGTAGAAAAGGTGGGCAGAAATGGAATAAGTTTCAACAAGACAATATTTTCATGTATTTATGGCTAATAAATGGTTAACAATTAATAAAATATACCTGTATGCAGGTAAAAACAAGTGAAAAGAAAGAAAACATTAAACTCTAGCTGTTAGGAATTGTGTCTGTTTATATGTGGGTGATACTTGTGCATGTGTGAAAGAGTTCAGTTACCCAGGGTAAGATATTATCCCCAAGCTGGGAACAGGTCTTGTGCTGGTGTTACTACTACCGCATGCTGAAAGGAAAGATGAAAAAAGAGAAAGAAACAGTAAGTATCCCATTTTTATAATTGTTTAACAACACCACCTAATGGCATGTTGGCAAACCAAGTGAGTGTAATGCCACAAAGTATACAATACTTGCTCAGGTGTGCATATGGGAGAAGACTTCATGGTAAAAATAAGAAGTAATATAGCAATTAAGTCATTTAAGAAAAATAGTAGCAGTAATATAATGAATCAGACAAGATGACATTCTCTTTGATCAATAATGGTGGATCCAATGATGTCTTTTCAAGTGATATTGAAATCAATTAGGGTTTTGTAGTTTTTAACTAAACTAAATGACAGTAAAAAATTTTTTTTGATATTTCACCCCAAACAAGCTGATAAAAGCCTCTAAGATACAAAGGATTACTTAGAGTGAAAGAAACAGAGAGGGCAAGGAGATAGTAGGTGACAATTAACATTGCATTTAAGATCATAGTTGACAGGAAAGTAAGAAGCTGAAGGAGAGTTCCACAACCAAGAAGTGTGAGAGAAATAAACTCTTAGAATAGAACTTACAGTTAAAACTAGCAATATTAGCAGTAAAATTATGAGATTGAACTGCTAATCTAACACTGCTCTTAAATTTGTGAAGTCAAGATACCAAAGAGTAAAGCACATCAGAATAATTACCATGAAAATATTTTGAGAAAAGATAGAGAGAAGCTATGTTATGATGGTGGAAAAGTGACTGAAGCTGAGATGCCAAGTCAGGACTGATAATGTTGAAGATTCTTCTATAGTTTATAATCTAAAAACACAGTATCCTCTTTGGCAAAGAAATTGCCAGAATTCAGGACAAATATATTTTAGACAAGACTCACTGCATACCACAGCTGTTCTGTGAACAATTTAAATGAAAAAATACTTTATATTTTATTTATTTGTTGACTTGTACACTTGCTGGAGCAGGCATGGTGGAATAATAGATAGCATCTTGGATTGAGGAATTGTAGAGCTGAGTTTGAATTCCAGTTGAGTTCATTACATTCACTTATGTGTTAATAACCTTGGAAAAGGTATGAATCCATCTCTTTGCCCCAGCTATGGGTAAATAACAGGATAGATTGGGCTCTATAAGCCTTGGTTGGCAACCAGTCTAGGAGAAGGAAACTCTGAATTCAAACAAGTTTGGAGAGGGTATCTTACCCAAGGCTGACTACTGCTGCTATAACTGAAGTACATGTAGTACACCTATGACCCTAAGGGGTGATGGGATTCCTGATTGGGACACAGATGAATGGATTTATTCTAAAAATAACCTTAAATGTTTATTGGAAAATATAATATTTTCTAAGTATGGTTTTATAAATTTTAAATGTATTTTCAGAGAATATTAGAAAATAAAGAGGTGGTAAAAACTCAAACAGTGTCTGTATAATTTTCTTTCTCTTAGTGTATAATTTCAGACATAGTGTATACTAAATATATTAGACAGTCCCATTTAACATAGCTGTGAAATGTGGCTTCCTCTATTTTAAACATTTTCTATATTTTTTTTTTATTTATATTACTTGTTTGTACTATTGTCCTCATCTTTACTGCCATATTCATGACTTTTCAGCCATTGGAATTTTGAACTGAACCCTTTATTTCATCCACTGGTTAAATTTTGATAATTCCAGCTGTTTCAGTTATCTCGCCAAGTTTTTGTTCACCACTGCAGTAGCCAGGTATTGAACTCATAATCATCGGATCCAACCAATGTTTTTATCCACTGGGCCATGTGTCCTTGAGAACATCAGTGTATGAATTTTTGGGACTTATAAAAACCTAATGTCTTAGTAATCATTTTTTACCAGAGCTCATATTGCAATTTTGTTGTTATTGCTTTTCTATAGCACTCCTTATTACTGGTTCCCATATTGTATTCATTTCTATGCTTGGTTGGCTCAGGAGATTTTTGTTGCCTAACATATGTGCTGATTCCTTAAGTTTTCACATTTTTCAGTGATGTTCTATATTATTTTAACCTCACACCACAGAGGTTGGTGATCTCCCTTTTCACTTCATATGTGGTCAGCTATGCTTAATTTTTCTATTTTCTCACTTACAGCTTTACAATGTTCTTGCAGTATTACCTTAAGGGGGCAGTCTGTTTTTCCCTTATATTTCTTACCACAGCTGCACAAGATGGTGTACACACAGTCCTTAGTCATGTTCTTCTCATGTGGGGTCTTATGTGTAAGAGGTGTCTGTGAAGTGTCAAACCACTTTTGAAAGTCATCCTGATGTTATATGGATCACAGACGCAAAGCTGTTTTTTGAGTGTTGTTATCCTCTTGTACCCGTCTATCCTGGTTTGTTAGAACTGCTGCCATGTACCCAGGGTACTTGTTACGTTGTACCATTTCTTGTTCATATGTCTCTGGGTTCCCACTTTTGCTCAATGTTGTAAGTAGCAGACAATCCCTTTCTTTACGCTGCATTAAAGGTTGAAGTTGAATTATTGCCCAGTGAATGTTGGCTTGCAGTATACAGATGTCTTGAACCCATTCTTTGTTCAAGATATTAGTACATCCAAGAATGTGAGTTTGTTGTAGTTTTCCTCATTGAGAACTTTATCAATGATTGAAGCGTACAACAACTAAAATGCCATGATATTAAAGATGAGGACAACTGTCTGAACAATGTAAATAATTACAATACCTCATCTCAGAAATTGCCAATAAAGATGAGGACAACAGTTCAAATAATGTAAATAATTACAATACCTCATCTCAGAAATTGCCAATAAAGATGAGGACAACAGTTCAAATAATGTAAATAATTACAATACCTCATCTCAGAAATATAGACAGATATGTGTTTTTTTGTTTTGTCAGTTTTAATCATTTTACTCCAATTGCAAATATATAATCTTTATTTTTAGACTTACCCAGAATATGTATATGTAGTCAGCATTGGTCATCCTGTTGATCAGTTATTGGCTGATCCAGATTCCGCTGAGAGAAATTTATCGTTGGAACTCTGTGCTGGAACGTAAGTATGTCAGTTTATAGCTAGTTCTGGGTATGACAATAAACTATATTCAGCAGCAAGACCTTTGATCAGGAGGTTTTTGAATAGCCCTGGTACTACCTCTTAATTGCTATCATTCCCAGGTCCACCCTCACCTGAAGTAGCACTTTTTAGGGTCCCATCTATGGGCAAATGGTAAACTCTTAAACAAAAACAAAACACTATGAAAGTATAAAAATACATTTTTATAGTAAAAATACTAGCAATACATTTTTATATAAGAAAAATTGCCAACAATGCCTATTTATAGCAAAATGATCAACACAACATTTTATCTGTAGTTGAAGCAATAAAGTTGTGTTCAAAATATTTAGATTTCAGCATTATATAACCCATAAAGGTTGATATACCACTAACCAAAATCAACCAACCAACATGAAAGAACTCTTTCATGACATTAATCCATGTAATATTCTACAATTTTTTAAAGAAATCAAACTCTCTTCCAAAATATAACTTCAAAAAAACTACAACATAAAACACACATATCACCGCCTCTAGTAATTATGTTCACACAAACATGTATATGTAAAAAAGCTGAGTATCATTGACCATGTAGACAATTTTAAAAGCAGAATAACATGTCTCATATTTTTATTACTTCAAAGATCCCAAGAAAACTAAATTTCAGCATTAAATAACTCATAAGAAGTTGATATGCCATTAAATAGATCAAATCAGTTTATAGCATTATGGCTGCTGTAGAAAAATGGCCTACTTGTTGATAACCATTGGAAAATACTTATTCTATTTTTTTTATTAATTTCAATCTTAGTCAGTATGGTTATTTCAAAATTGCCTTTTCAAAATTTAAATTAATGACATTTATTAGCAATAATAAATATAATCTACTCTGTATATTTACTAAACAGGAAATATAAAAAGGATTATCTGATGTGTTTTCTTTTTGTAATTAAGCTGAAAGTTTTGATCTTTTTTTTCTTTTTTAGTCATGTTCATTGTACATCTGACATTGGTCAGTTTGTTGTAGTAAAATCCTCTGGAGTGGCTCAAAATACCAAACGTGTGACTTGTGTGACAGGACCAAAAGCCCAAAGTGTATGTAACTAAATATTTTTTCAGTTTTGTTGTTGCATGTTTTAACAGAAAAATGAAACTGTATATTGTTCATTTCTGTTTATTTCTCTTCAGGACAAACTACAATTGTATTTGGAATCAAACATTTATCAACTGTTCTTATTGTTTTTAAGCATTACTTGCTATAATTTCTGTCTGAGTTTATTATTATTATTATCTGTTGCTTGATTTACTTAAACTGTTTTTCTCATCCTGCTTCATATAAATACAGACAATATTTCAGCTGTTGATTCTCTGGTCTTCTTTAGATGACTGTTGTTATTGAATTTAGCTGTCCATACTTAAAGATATTTTGTTTTAATGAATTCTTGAGTTATTTTTTCCCTGTGATATCATATATGCTTTTTCCTGATTAACCAGACTATACGCACTTTTACTACCTGATTCAGGGCTTAACTCAGTACTATATAACTGTAAGATTTAACATTCTAATGAGTAAAAAAGTGCCCTTATGTACTCTCTCTCTTTCTATATATATATATATATATATATATATATATGGTTTATGACTTTTGTAAAATAATTGATTTCTGGCATCATAATTTGATGAACTTTTGTTAAGAAATAATGAAGAAGACTTTAATTCAGTTTATTTAAAAAAAAAACCAACATGAAATTTTTAAAATCTTACGTTAAGTATAGTAGTACTATGATTTGCTGGAAAGTTATGCCATGCATTTTGTAGGGGCTACATAAGGCATGGTGGTGTAATGGATAGTGGCTTGGAGTGAGAAATCTGAGAGCTGAGTTCGTATTCCAGTCAAATCCACTATATTCACTTATGTGCTAATACCTTTAGGAAAGGTATGAATCCTCTTTTTCTCCCTCCAGCTATGGGTAAATAGCAGTACAGACTGAGGTCTATAGCCTTGGCTGGCAACTGGTCTACTGCAGAAAAGAAATGGCAACCTACTGCGGGAAAAAAATCTGCCTCATCAGTTATGTATTGAAAGATACATGATTGCCTTTGTTATTTAGATAAGGTGAATGGGGAAAGTGTGTTGTGTTTGTGATCAAATATTTTTTGTTTTGTTTCTCAGTATGTAAGCTTCCTGATTGAGCAATGCTGATTGATTTGCTGAAAGATCTCCAGGTATTCATTTTTAACCATAATGCCTCATAAAAAAAGCGATTCTACCACTTTAAAGAACAAGAAGATCTGGACAAAGAATCTCATAAGAACTGTTTCCACTAGAAGAACAATCACTGGAAAACAAAAGCAGGATACCACTCAAAATCCAAATTGTTGGTCGCTATCTGTTCCTTGGAGCATCCATCAAAGGAAAGAAAACTTATAAAAGAAATTGATATGAATTTTCTATTTCATTTAACTCAAGTTTTTCACTTTCTCGAAGAAACTGGAAGATTTCTTAAAGTGAAATTTCAAAAAATGCCTAACTAAAGTAATGCAAGATGGAATTCTAGAGTAATACTAGCTCTTTTGAATTATTCTTTTATCAGAGAAAAGAGACTTTCTACTTCAAATTTGTAACAGATAGGTGGACCATTTTTTTTACTGATCAAATCTACAATGTAGATAATTATCAAAATCTATGTAGCAGCTTGCAGGCTTACAAAAAAACATTAAACTCTGTGAAAAAGTTTTGGAATCTAGAATCATTAAGACTGGAAATTCCCAGAACAAATTGGTGTGCAGAACAAACAATCAAGTGCCTTCAAGATCTCTATGATGTCTGTAACAAGGTGAAAGTTCAGCTTACATTTACGTTGTCTAAGAAAAACTCAATAATTGTATGTTATGCTATAATTATGCTAAATATTCCACTTTCTTTATATAGCTATTCTTATTGTCGATATAAGTTTCTAATATTACATGCTCATTTTCAGTTTTTGTTTATTTGTAAGTTTGTAATGCTTATATCTATAAACTGTTAAATAATTGTATGCTATGCTATAATTATGCTAAATATTCCACTTTCTTTTTCTTTATATAACACCCAGGTGTTAGTGTTGTTAAATAACAAAAACTCCAACAAAACCTGCAAAGAAAACATTAATTATTAGTTTAATTATCATTTCAGGCACTTACCAATCTTGAAGAGGTGAAAGAACTTTATGCCAGTCTGGAGGCAGCAATTTCTGCTAAGAAAGATCTGGCCAACATGGAAGTCATGGTTAAGAATTTATATAAGGTAAGTTTTCATTTGCAAAGACAAATATTTAATCCCAAAAGTGATTAAGAAAAACAAACTTGACTATTGGGAACCAGTTAAATGTTACACTCAGTACTACAGTAGTGTCACTTCTTACCAATTCTTATTTTAAAAGCATGTTTTTTCTTGCAGTTTGTTTTTAAATATCATGTCCCTTCAGAATGTTGGTGATCATGGCTCTCCACTGATTCCTTTTCTTTATTATCTGTGAATTGCCATTACTTGTTGGGAAAGTATTTTATTATTGACTTCTCTATGGTTTGGAATTCAGTCTTTCTCTTATATTGGCTGCTAACCAAGGCTAGAGATCCTATTCTGCTCTGATCTTAACCTTTAACTGGAAGGAGATGAGATGAATTCAAAGGCATTTGTGCTGAAATGAAAGCAACAGACTAAGTGGGATTTGAACTCATTTTCTCTACTGACAACAGGCTATGTACACATCCTTCTTGCAATTATATAAGTGAAACATTTCCAGTTTTAAATTTAAAGTTTTAATGATTCCAATAAATTATTTTCCAATGTTCACGGAATAAAAGAGGTGAATATTGCAATCATCAGTATTCTGTGAGATGTTCAATTTCCTTCCAATTTTGAAGCCCTTCTAACATTTTGCAGTTTTATTTTCAGTGTGATAGAAAATCTGTCAAAAGATTATTGTGATTTTGATCTAGAGTCAGTATCTCTAATTTTACCTTGTATCACTCACAATTGACTCATGATTAATTACTATAACCTGCTTATACTGCTAACACAGTCATGTTTGTCATTATTGTGACTATATTATACTAAATGTTTCAAGAAATGTACTATTTGCATATTTTTGTTGTTCATTAAATAACTGGAAAATATTTCACAGAATCAAGCAAACTGCACTAATATATTCAAACAAAATACTGTAAAACTTAGATAAGCCTGCACAGAAAACATACTGCAAATCATAAAAGACACATCAAATCACCAGTACATCACAACACCCACCAGTAACTGCAGAACAAAGTATGAATGCCAATTAAATGATAACTGCCTACAAACTATCTCAAGCTACAAGTAAAATCAAAAGGAAACCTCAAAAATATGTATGGCAATAAAAGAAGATCCCTAGAAATAGAGAGGATACACATGCAAAACATCATTTAAAAATATATATACAAATTGTACAACCCTCTAAAAACATAAATGGTTACTCAAAAAAACACTAATCAAAACATGCCAGAACAAAGAAAATAGCATTAGCTTACAACAACTCAAAATGATGCATTCTTTGCCTAGATGAGAAAATAGACATAATCACCTTTTCAGAGCAAGATAAAATTCTAAACAAAAATCAGATCATTTCCAAATGCAGACACAAAAACAAATTCCTACAATGCCACCTTAATCACATCATGATTCAAAAGACTAAATAAAGTTCCATAGTCTAAATCTAATAGACTTTATTTCCAATACCAAATTTTAGAACCAAAAAGTATATAAAATATATAAATATGTAAATAAATAGGCAAAATAAAAGTCATGATTTTAAATAACCTAAAGCATTAGTCTTAAACAAAATAACGAAGAAAAAGCTTCCCCCCCCCAACTTCCTTTAACCCCTCTAATGTGTTATATATAGAATATGCTAATGGTACATAATCTGAAGATCACTTGAGTTGTGAAATTGACATATGCTCTGTCTGTCTTTGATATTGAGCACATGTCTCACATAAATACAGCAAATTTTCAGCAATTATTTTTGGGTGTGTCTATTTTTTTTTTCTTTCTTCATAGATGCTGAAGGACAGTATTCTCCCAAAAGCTGATCGGGAGAAAACAAAGCGAAACCTGATTGTTCTACATGAGAAAGTTCGTAAACTGAAGAACATCAGTATCAGCACAACTTTGGCTCATGTAAGTGATGGCTTCATTTGCTTTTATAAAATAAATTATGATTAATGAAGACAAAAAATCTGGGGAGGGTGGTAGTTATGCGATATGATGGATTATGTACAGGCAGGAGCATTGGTTAAATTTTGGATAAAAATGAAATTTCATCTTAAATACATAAAAAAAATACAAGGTTTTTAGAAATACATTTTCCTATAAATTAAAACAAATTCTTGTCACTATTATTATAGTTTATATATTATATATAATATATATATTATTATTTAATTTCGCCGTTACACATTTGAACTAGTTTATCTACAACACTCGTATATCGTTATAATGGGGCCTCACATCAGTGAGGGGGGCCGGTGTGCAACTGAAACCATTGAGAGGAAGGCCCCGAAAGGGTGCACATTCTCTCCTGATGACCCCAGTTTAAAATTCAAGAGGAACACATCAAAATTCAGTGAAATCATATGCCGTAGAGAAGCTCGGTGGAAGTGTCATTGGCATGAGGAGCATTATAGATTCAGCTCGCTTCAGGTGAGTTTCAATTACTTTCCAGTAATTTCCTTCTTCAGTAATTATCACAAAAATAATTATTGTAAGATTTATTTGCATTGGCATATATTAGGTGTAAGCAAAAATTCTATAAAACTAGACTGAATCCTACACTAAAATAATTTAAATATTAATTGCATGAAAGAAATTCAACATCATTTACTCACTTTCGTTTATTAAACATTAAATTATATCACTAATCATCTTCCATAATTTACGTATATTTTCAGTTAACCTGATGAATATTTATGAGCATCTCTTAAATTTAAAACTTTTGAAAAACATACATTTTTACTTCTATTTATAAATACTTGTTGCAAAATAAAATCCTTATATTTGCCTTATAAATATTCATTGGGGTTTTCATTTTTAAAAGTTATTTTAATTCCCACCATCCACAGACAAATTGTACATACAGGGGCTAGTTAGGACTTCATAGAGACAGTAGTTTGTTTGGGTCAGTGATTGTGGCTAGCTAAGTGTAAGATAAGACAGATTAATGGCCAGCCTTAATCCCCCACCCTTGGCCTTGTGCTACATTTTTTGTTTTAATGGAAATAAATATTTGCCTTGATAAAAGTCCCTCAGAAGATGAAATGTGTTGGCTAAGATAAGTTTTTTTTCGTCTTTATTTATATTGTCATTTTACAGATATATTTTTAATTATATCTGAAATTTTACACTGTAGAAAAACATTTTTTTAAATAAAAAAAAAACACTGGAAACTTTTGCAGTATTATAAAGATGTATATATTTCCATAAGAATGTGAGTAATTCTTATTATATTTTGTTTCTCATTGATTTTCAAACTGAATGCTAAAATTAGCTTAAGTTTTGTTTAAATATAAAATCCCATTCTAGCCACATATGTTACCATAGTGATTTTTATTCATTCATAACTCTATGAATGACCTTCATCCTGTTACAAGATCAACACTCACTAAAAGTGGAATTTTACAAATTCCTTTGTGTGCATGAAGTGTGTATATATCTTATATTATATATCTTACCTGTTGTATCATGACTTACTTAAACAATGAACTTGTGTGACAGGATAGTCAAAAGTAACTTTAATTTTAATATTTCTCTATAAAAATATATGTTCCATAATTTACATTGAGCACTGTTTTGTAAAAATAAAAACAAGAATATCAATAAGAACACTGGATTATATATCTTACTGTTCTTTCTTTTTATTATAATAAATATATATATATATATATATAATCTCACTTTAAGCATTATTTTTAGTGGATACCCATATTTGAGTAGACACTGTTTATTTTAAACAGTATATTTATTTTTGTCTACTTGCCTGAATATTTGAAGAGTGTTATTAATGAAAAATATGCGCCCTCAGGAATATTCAGTCCAGTAAATGTAGACGTTTGTTCTGAGATCATTTGCCTTATCATTTGCACCCCTGATGATGATCTCGGAAAGAGATGGAAAGTACTTGGGAAATAAAAGTGATTCTCACTGTTACATTGCATTTCTTGACTCATTTGATTGTAATATACAGAAAAATATTTGTGAATATGAAAGGATTATGATAAAAATAAGTAGACATAGTGTTTGTAATTTATTCAATTGAACATATATATAATGGACTCTCCCACCTTATTCGATGTATGAAGGTCAAGCAGCTCAGTTCCTAGGAACTGACAGCCAGACACCAGTACATATGATTTGATTATAGTGGTGAAGGCTTTGTGCAGAACCAACCACACTTTTTGAAGGGCCAAATACAAAGACCTGATGCACTATGTGTCACAAGGTGCCCAAACGACCCTCCGCAGGTTTTGAATTCAGAGTTGTCCTTCTCCTAGACCAGTTGCTATCCAAGGCTATAGAACCCAGTCTGTCCTGCTATTTACCCATAGCTGGAGGGAGAAGAAGAGGATTAATACCTTTCCCAAGAGTATCAGCATGTAAGTGAATGTAATGGATTTGACTGGATTTCGAACTCGGCTCTCCAATTCCTCAATCCGAGCCACTATCCACTATTCCATGTGCCTCATATATATATATATATATATATATATATATAATGGTGTTAGGGAAGTCACTATGCACTAAGCACTTATATTTTATTAAGACATGTTTCACTATAGAATGTAAGAGTAGAATATGAATGAAAATTATAAACAATGTTGAAAGTGATGCTCATTATCATCAATACATACTTGTATCCTTATTTTGTTTCTGAACTCCACTGTCAGTTGCTAGCTTGAAATAGACTGAATGAACACTGTTATTGCTACTTTCAAGTCATCCAGCTTGTGCTGACGATCTCACTATGTTGTAGATTTTGCTGCTCTCCATAGATAAAAGTCTGGTGAGCGTGGGGACCACACATCTTTGGAAATAATGAGGTCTGCAAAAATTTTTTCCAAAAACTGCATAGATCTGTGAGATGAGTGGGTAGTAGTACTGTCCTGTTGAAACCATGAGTAATTGATTTCATCTGTTGCCATCTGACTGATGAAGGTAGGAACAATAGCGCACTTGCTGTTAGTGTGTTCATAAAGAAAATAGGGCAAACAATTTGATGTCCGGAAATATAAAAAATGTGATTTGAAAAGTGCACAGTAAATTTCCAAAGACCCTGTGTATATATATATATATATATATATATATATATATATATATTATTTTTATTTATTTTATTCTATTGTGAGATATATGTATTTTAAACAATCAAAAAAAAAAATTTTATTGTGAGATATATGTATTTTAAACAATAATATATATATATATATATATATATATATATATATATATATATATATATTTTATTGCAAGATATATGTATTTTAAACAAAAAAAAAAATATATATATTTTATTATAGATATATGTATTTTAAACAATAAAATATATATATATATATATATATATATATATATATTACATATATATATATGTATTTTTAAACAATAAGAAATATATATATATATATATATTATTGCAAGATATATGTATGTATTTTTAAACAATAAAAAAATATATATATATATATATATTATTATGAGATATATGTATTTTTAAACAATAAAAAAATATATATATATATTTTATTGTGAGATATATGTATTTTTAAACAACTTATTCCTACCATTTTTTTTGTTCTGTTAACAACAGTCCATGTCTGAAAAATTAAAACAAGTTGGGCGACCAGATTACCTTGTCACACTTTTACCTTTTGATGGACCAAGGCAGGTAAGGAATTAAATTTTGTCAAAATTACAACACATTTTTGTAAGCAGCATGCACTGACACGAAAAACCTTTCATTTTTCTGTATAATTAAAGCATAAACAGCAAATAACAGAAATCAAAAATCCTGATTGTCTTTGTTAATACTAGTATAATACTGATAAAAAAAAAATGATAAATGGATTGGTACATCTACCTAGGGTCAAAATATCATGCAACAACTTTTCTGTCAGAAGATCAGAGTGTAGTATCTTTATTTCATTTTTATACTAATGTTTACCCAAAATAAGGCTCAAAAGCCACTCAAAGTAGAGAGTTATTCTGTGTTATTGTATGAGGATAGGAAAAGGCAAGCAGTGATGCTCATGCAGGAGATATAATGATTAACTCTCGACTTGAAGTGGTCAAGATTGTAGTGATTGGGAAAACATCCTGTTGGTAGTTTCTTCCAGAATGCCGCAATATGCTTTTGTGAAAATCAGTTTCACTCCAAGCAAAGTAGTAAAGCCACTAAGACACAAGGAGTTACCGGGTGTAGAAGAATTAGGAACAGAAACATTACTAATTAGAAGGAAGAGAAAAGAATCAGGAAGACAGTAGATAGCAATTGACATTGCATTTAAATTTTTGCAGATTAAAGTTGACTGGAAAGCATGGAGTTGGAAGGGAGTTCCACAAGCAAGAAGTATTAGAAAAGATAGTGTTAACATTGAATTTATGGTTACATCTAACCAACTCAACTGTATATTGGTGAGATCTTGATGCCAATCTAGTACTGTGTTTAAAGTCAAAAAGTCTAGGTACCATAGAAAAGAGCTCATCTGAACAATTACCATGAAAGTATTTATAGAAAAGGCACAAGGAGGCAACCTTATGGTGGTGGGAAAGTGACTGATCATGACTGATAATATTGCTGCTTCTTCTTTGAATTTTATCATGTCTGGCATGATCTAAGGATACATCTTTATCTATAGTAATTTTAAGTTATTTATGGAAGAAGAGATGTATCATTAATCTAAGTATATATTACAGAACTAAATGACCAACTAAGTACACACTAATATCTAATATGTGCTGATGTAGATTTGGTCAATGAATGCATATATAAATGTGACCAGTAGAATATTCAAAGAATATTTTGTGCAGGAAATTCATTTTTTTCTCTTGAAAAACAAGTGGGTGCCAGTGATAGAGCCTATAATTGGAAGTGGTCAGACAATTCGAAATAAGGGGATTTTATCCCTTATTCAACTTCTCTTTCTCTATATTTTACATTATGTTTGGTGCATATCCACAGACCTTGTTATATTAGTCGACTGTAAATTGGTCTCTCTAATTTAGTGCAGTTTGTCATGAATCAGTCGTGTTGGTCATCCATTTTGAGATTTGTCTATTGCCTTGAATTTCTTACACTGGAAATTTGTGAACCACTCATAAAGTTGTTCTATATCTGATAGTCTCTTTTCTGAACACTTGGCTTTATTTGTGAATTCATTAGAATGGAAGCTCATTTTGTAATAATACAATGGTCATGTTCTCAATTGTTTGTGAGAGAAATCAGTTTTTTACTTATATTATAAATGCTTTGATACAACTGAAACTGATGACTGTCAAAGCTGAGAGTTCCTCTTTATATATCCATATAATCATCATAATGATAACAAAGTTCGTATTGCTGGTGGATAATGCTTTTAAGGTAAGCATTCTTTTAAATTAAAGTGCTCAATATTAAAAAATTAGAACATTAACAACAAATGAATACAGTGGAACCTCGGTTCACAAATTTAATTTGTTTCTGAAGCCTGTTTATAACCTGAAACTATTTTTCCAATAAGAATCAATGTAAAATGGATTAATCCATTCCTGGTCCCAAGATGATTGCTTTTTTAAACTTTAATGACAGTACTTTGTGCACAAGTTTATATACAAAACTAATGAAAATCATTAGATCTAAGAAAAAAAACCAATACTAGACAGATAAAATATAGATGAACACTTCAATTTTACTGTATCTGCATGTAGGAAAGTTGATGTTGTAAGGCGAAGGAAAGATATGTTATTGTTTGCAAAAGTGAAGAAAAGACATGATCGTCTCTTTATTTATAGAATAGTATAGATCGTTGATTTTGCCATATGAAACTGACTAGGAATAAACAATATCATTGTTTTTCTCTTAATTTTTCTTTTTTCTTTACCAGTATCATTGCTAGCTTTCTTTGGAGCCATGACTGAAGACTAATGAAGAGAAAAAAAAAAAAAAGCACAGTACAATAAAATTGGAAAAGAAAAGCATAGATTTGTTCAACATGTGAGACATTTGAGAACCAAGGTTGCACTGTAAAGTTAAATGTTTGATCTGATTATTTAATATATGTTATCTGTCGGTTTTTTGATAGTTTAATTTACTTTCAAACCTCATAATAAGCGGATAACATCTGAAAAATTATGAATTGGGAAGATAAGTCAAACGTTTAATTTTATTTGTTTGCTATATATCCATATATAAACATATATTTACATCATAACACTGTTTTCAGGGAAAATTAATGTCTTTGTGGGTGTTGAAGAAACAATCCTTGTAGACCCATCATCCCAGACTTACAGATGCCCATTGTGAAATAATACATAGTCTTGTTTTCCACTGCTTATGAGAGAAATCAGCTTTCACTTATTGATGCAATTGAAACTGCTCACTGTTGAAGCTGCAAGTTACTCTTTTTATATAAATAATAATACAAATTAAGGTTGTATTTTGGGGAAAAAAAACTTTGACCAGGGTATTTTAGATAAATAATCTTTGCAATTAAAGTACTTAAAATTAAGATGTAGAACAATAATAGCAAACTAATGAATTGCACATCTTCCAGACTCTTTCATAGATGCCTGTCAGCGGGTTAGTTAAATTTAACTATCTAAATCCATGATGAGCAGATACCATCTATGAAACTCTGGACTGGGAAGATAAGTTGCACATCTAATTTTATTTGCTTGTGCATTGAATATTGCTGCCATATCTGGTCTGGTGCTCCTATTATATATCTCAAGATTCTCAATAAAATTCAAAGAAAAGTCTGTAATGTAATCAATCCTGACTTGGCATCTCAATTCCAGTCACTTTCCCACCACCATGACATGACTTTGCTATGTCTTTTCTGTGAATATTTTGATGGCTCTCCTCTTTGGTACCTCAACTGCATGAATTTAAGTATACTACTAGATTGGCAATTAGGTCTCATTTTTTACTGTTGAAATAAAACAAATGAAACTCTAAGGTCTATTTTAATAGTTCTTTTTCTTGCCTGTGGAACACTCTTCCTGTTTTTTGCTTCCCTGCCACCTACAATCTTCAAAAATTAAATGCAATGTCAATCACCATCATCTGTCTTCCTGATTTCTGTTCTATTATTGTCCTTTCTTCTTACTAGAGTTTTCTCATTCTCTTTTGCTGTCACTAACTTCCTTGGGGGTGAAATGATTAAAAACAAATACCATATTTTCTGGCTTAGAAGATGCCGTGGCTTGGAAGACACATCCTAATATTGGAAAGAAATTTCTAAGAAAAAAAAGTCATTAGTTTAAGCTTGTGGCTCAAATCCAGGAAGGGTTATAGTCTTGGAAATACTTGCAACAGCTAAGTACTGAGGTTACATCATATAAAAGACTGAATTAGCTAACTTTAGAGCGTAATGACTCAACATAGTCAAGCCAATTAGGTGACCGTGCAAGCTTACTTGAACCTGGGCGTGCCTTACATTCATCTTGGAATATGCACATGTAATTTTTAGTGTATTTCTTAGGAAAAAAATTATATCTTGTAAGCTGGAAAATATGTTAAATATATATTTACATCATAAATTAATGTCTTTTATGAAAAATATGATTTCTGAAAATAAATTCTATTTTACAGTCAAGCCCCTTAACAACTGTATGTAATTTCCATGGAAAGTGAACATTTAGCTTTATTTATTAGTATATCCAGACTTGGATATACTAATAAATAAAATTAAATTAGTATATCCAATAAATAAAATTAAATTATTATATCCAGACTTGGATATACTAATAAATAAAATTAAATGTTCACTTTTATGTAAATCTCAAATGTAAATTTTTTTATATCTGTGTAAAAAGATTTACAAATTTTCTCTGTAGGAATTTTGAGAACTTTCTCTGTAGTGTTTGGGAACTTTCTGAACCAAGTTAATATTTACCTGTGTTTGAGAACTTTCTGAACCAAATTAATATTTACCTGTGCAAAATTTAAAAGTATGAAAATGTTAAATTAGTTTTTACAAAGGAAAAAACCCAACTCAAATATTTAAAGGTTGCTAAAGTATATTTGAAAAATACCTGAAGCAAGCTAATAACAATTATATATTATTGTTTTTCAATAGAACATCACAAATGAAAGAAACAACAACTAGATTTTTTTTTACACTATTATTCGCCTCATACAAGGCTCATGAGCAACTCATGGTAGCGGGTTACTGAATGAGGTTGTTTTATGGATGTAAGAGATGTGGTAGGAAGAGCAGATTGTGAGGATATGTAGGATAGTTGACATTGGGTTTGAAGTGGTTAAGATTGTGGTGTATAGGGGGAAGCATGCTTTTGGGAGTGTGTTCCACAAAGTAGCAGCTCTTGGAAAGAAACTGTCAATGGAACTTCCTTCTTACAAATGGAATACAATGTGAATGAGGATGGTTTGTTCCCACCTGTGTACATGGAATGGTGGGTCTTAGCTGTAAAGCTGTGAACTAGAGAACTAAGGAATGTAGCTTGTCAGAATGTTGTCCATGGAAATAGCAATCGATAAGTGAGAGACTTGTAATGTTTCCTGAATCTTGAAATCATTTGAAATTCTGTAAGGAAGTATTCGTACTGTTTTTGTTCTTGTTTCCTTATCATTTTAAGGCATTGTTTTTCGCAAATCAAATCTTTGGCTATCAAACTGTGGTAATTCAGAACATTTCATCTGTATATCAACTGTAAGGAAAATTACTTGGCAAATAGAAAAAAAAGTCTTTGTTGCTTGTGTAGTATGTGATTAATGCCAGGAAATACCAGATAATCTGAATCAAATTTAATGTCAATAAGGAACCTTTGTTGTTCTGTGATGACCCCAATAGGTATTAGGCTCACTCTAAGAGATGCCAATATAAGTTTTGTGCTCAGAGTCACATCAGGAAGTGAAAAGATTAAGGAACCTATGGATGACCTAGAAGGTGTCCCCAAAGCCACCAAGTGCAGAATTGGGCCTCAAAGAATATTGGTGGGAGCGCCAACATAAGGAAGTAAACCCAGTTGAACATAAGATATGCACATACAAGACAACCAAATAACAGGAAGTTATATAAATACCTAACCTATGAGGGAAAAGGAAATTTACACATATCTTTGCAAGAAGATTGGACATTCAAAGCAAAGTACCTACCCTTGATGTTAATTTTTTGAGTCTTGAAATGAATAAAACATTATTTCATGTATGAAAAATTTAGTCTTGTCTTCTTATCTGTTGTTAGTAACATAACGTTACGTGTCCCACATATTCATCAGACAGTTCAGCATTAATTTGATGGAGTCCAGAAGTGAATAAACAATTATTTCATGGATGAAAAAATTAATCTTGTCTTCTTATCAGACATTAGTATCATATCATTAAACTTGAACACTGAATAAATACTAGATATGTGATACACATGGGGAAGGCTGGAGAGCTGACTGGTTGGAATGTCCATGATAATCTTTAATCTATAATTCTAAATCTCTTTTTGTCAATCTTCTGTTAGGGACTGCTAAAGATAGGACCACCAAATTTGTTATGGTTACATATTGTACTCTGAGCATGATTTTTACCATGTCAAGTTTTTAACATTTACATAGATTTTAAGTATTTTTGCAAAGGTTTCAGTTTGAATTGTAAGTATTATACTAAATTGGACACAACATTGTGTCCATCAGTTTTTTTAAACCAAATCTTTGTCATTTTTTTGTTTAATTATATAAAGTAGACATCAAGCTGAATATTTCCTCACAAAAAAAATAAGGTTATGACTGTTATTCTATGACCTTTTTTACTGGTCACCAGAAAATAGAAAAATAAAATCTTATTTTTCTGGACTCCAAGCCACATTGTAATTATGGGTAATGACTGAGTCAGCTGCTCTGTATGCAGTGGAGTTTAGATATTGAAAAATTCAAAATTCTATATACAGATTTTAAACCCAAAATTAAATTAATTTTAAATAAGTAACAACAATATTGGAATGCTAATGTTTATTTAGTAAAACTCATTCTTAGAAAATGGTGACCACGGTTCAGAAAATCTTAGAAAGTCATTTAGTATTAGTCAATCCAAATATACAGTCTTATTTTTACACAAGATGAACAAGCTCAATACATAGAATGTCAGACATTTAACACTTTGAAGCCCCTTCAGACTGAAAGTGGTTATCTTGCTACTTTACAATGTAAATTTTTTTAGAAAGAATCATTTAATAATCATTATTTGTGATATTCTATGTTTTCTGAGGGTAACAAATCTATTCATAAAATTATAAAGCTGTTGTCTCTTGTAATAGTGCCATGAAGCAGCTTACTTCAGCTGTTACTTTGTTTTAACTTTTAAAATTTGATCATTGAATTTTTTTTTAATATTAGACAGGTGCATATTGCCACTAAATTTATCAAGTCAAATCACGTAATAAATTTGTGTATAATAATAATAGCCTGCTTACACGCAACTACCAAGCTAATATCTTGCATAATAGCAAGGACCCAAAATACAGGATCCATGACTAATACATTGAAATTATTGATCACCTTATCTCAGGATGCTCAATATTCACACATAGTGTGTATGAAAATTGTAATGACAGGGTAGGTCTATATCTGCATTTGAAAATCTGTCATCACTATGGGATAAAAACAGTTGCAAACTGATATGAACATCATCGTGAATTTGTAATTGATAGAGTAGATGTTACTATCCTCTGGGATTTCTCTATCAACTCAGATTGAACAATACAAGCAAATTTCCCAGACATTATTATCAAAGACAGAAATGAAAAAGTTTCTATGTTGATTGACATGAGTGTACCAAGTGGCAAAAACATCTCTGCTAAAGTTTTTGATAAACCAAGCTAATACAAAACTTGGAAATGGAAATAGAAAAAATGTGGCACTTAGAAATTAAAAGTGTTCTTGTTGTGGTTGGAGCTTTGGGTCTGATAAAGAAAGGAACTCAAGACGAAATCAACAAAATTCCTAGTGCACCATCTCTCCAGGAAATCAAAAAAGTAAGTTCTAACATGCACAGCCCATATAATATGGAGTGTTTTGACCATTAAGTTTTTTTTTGGCATGAGATGCCTTTTGTTTAAATGGAAATAGCAACAAAAATTACATCCATTGCTTGCCCTAGGTCATGACCTAGCATGTGATTATAAGACAAAAGCAGGTCAAAAAGAAATTTTAAAAAATTGTAATAATCATCAACCAATAAACACATGTAAACCAATAAACATATAATAATATTAACAGTGACCTCTGCCTTGCAAGATGCTTTTAGATACCAGACATCATTGAGTGTGCATGGTGCTAATTGAACCAGCTCATTTGCTAAGGAAAGTGTTGTGTTTCTATGCTACTGAGATACGAACATCAACCAACTGAAACATCTAAGATGTCGGAGAGGATTTCATCATCATCATCTTTATAACGATAAGCAATAAATTCATGTATAATAATAATAATAATTCCTTATTATAGAAATTCAAACAAGGATTCTGAATAATTTGTTGAATAAAGTCTTGGCTATTTAAAAGATGTCAGATGAATGATTAATTATTGGAGGCGATTAATTGAAAAAACCTCCGACAAAGAGTTAGAATTTCATTATAGAAATTTAATTGCATGTCCTTACCTTCTTTCAAACATGATGAATACTGTTGTCTCTAATTTCAACTGTTGTTTGTTTTGTCAGATGCGAAAAGCATTGCGTCTTTTTGAACTTCCTTGTCCAGCTGTGATTGTATCCAAAAGAGACCGGGATATACTGGCAGCTGTTGTAACACCTCAGGTGAGTAAGCTGAATTTTGAGCTGAAATGTTCACTGTATAATGTTTGATCAATGCTATTAATATCTATCACTGAATGAAGTGCATTGACAAAGAGGGAGATTATGTTGAAAAATAAATATTTGTTGTGAAATGCTTTTTCCATCATTAGGCTACAGACTTATTGATGTTCATTTTTTTTTTTTTGTCACTTCACATTTCTAGATAGAAATGGGCTAAAAAAATAGATGAAATCCAACTATGATTAAGTAAAGAACAAGTAGAAAAATCTTTTTTTTAAAATTTTTATTTTAATCATTTCACCCCAAGCAAAGCAATAAAGCCACTAGGATTGTAAGAGGTTACTGGGTGTTAGAGAATATGAGAAAAACTACTATTAAAGATAGAGGACAATAAAAGAATAAGAATTAAGAAGACAGACAATAATGATTGACATTGCATTTAAATTGTAAATGCAACATTTCACTATTCAGCCTCATCAGACAATTTTGGAAATGAATGTCCAGTTACAAAAAGCAAAGAACAAAAATCATGCATTTCTCTTCATTTAAAATATGTTGGCATTTCTGAACAACCAAAGCAAATTATTTACATGTGGGCTATTGTCCTCATCTTTGTTGTATTTATCACAATGTTTTTGATTATTAGTTGTCCAGCCATCACAGGTGTTGTTTGATTCAGGTAGACTTCAGAACCCTTTGTTTAATCTACAGATTCTTCTCGTTTCATTGTTCATGTCTAGGGACATCTTGTTTTCTTTTTCATACTACTCAGTTATTGTTTGTCTCCATTTCTACAGAGTCCAAGTACGTACGGTCTGTCCCAGAGATTGAACTCACAATTACTGTGTCATCTTTTTTTTGCCATTCAATCTCCTTGGATATCAACTTTGGACAAATGCAGTAAATTTGTTTTTACCCTCAAAACTGGGTAATTAATAATCACTTCCACTGCTGGAGACTTACTTATGTCTGTAGTGATTTAGGCATGTGAAAATGAAGAAAATAAACAATCTTCAAACACAGCTCTACAAATTGAAATAAACTTTGGTATTGAGTATTTATTTTCTTTCAAGTTGAAAGAAACCATTTACAAAGATCCCTGTGAAACAGGCTCAAAAATATTTTGTTTTCTTTCTTTACAATACAACAGAATCAATTGTGTTAGTCTGACAGAAGAAACAGGATGTGTCTACATAAGGATAGTGTAACATATTTACGTTGTTTTATGAATCCATATAATTTTGTATTAGTCAGCACGCCAACAGGCAAAGAAAGCTGTGTTAATACTGCTAAAATCTGTGTCGACAATAACTCGGTTTGTATGTTTTAAATGTTCTTAATTTAACATCGCTAAGCTTTTGTAATAAAATATACTCAAATAAATATGTGAAATGTTTTGAGAATTCAGCTTGTCTACAACAATGAACAGCCAACCCTGATCAAGGGTTTACGGAAAAACTGAATAACTAACTTAGCATCACAAATATTTATAATAAATAAAAATGTTCCAGAAATCTAAAAGTTAGATTTTACTAAACTTAAAGTTTGTTGGTTAATAAATATTCTTCCCAATTTTAAATATCTACTTTAGGTGGGAAAATATTGTTGGTCATTTTCTGGAGTGATCCAACACATTTTATAACAGATGATAAACATAGTCATTTAGTTTTTCAAAATTGTCAGTGTGTTTCCAATAACATCACCGATTGGTGTGTGTGTGTGTATATATATATATATATATATATATATATATATATACAGAAATATACGTAAATATAAATTTATATACACAATAAAATAGGACACATACAGATATATACATATATACATGCACACACACACACACACACACATATATATATATATATATATATATATATATATATACACATACACACACACACACACACAAAAATATATATATATATATATATATATATATATACAGTGGTACAATATATATATGCGAATGTGGAAATCCAAATTAGAGCTTACATTTTGCAAAAATAGTAAGCCAGTGTTTGTACAGAACTGGCATCATTTTTAGTGATATCACTTAAATCTATAGCATTTTTCTCCAGCTATTTAACAGGGTTCTACATGTCCTTTTGAAACTTAAATTGCCTGCTATTGGCATATATATATATATATATATACATTTTCAAGACACCATGAAATGTCTGATCCTTGTGATTTTGCTTTTTTATAATCTATTTTTTATTATATTGCCTATTGAAGGTGTTTAGCTTGATACTTTGATTGGATACTGCAGAGTATACAATCAAAACCAAGATGGTGGTAGCCATGTGAAATTTCCATAAGCGAGCTCAGCCAATCAAAATTGACTTCCCTATTATGGTTCATATCTGACCCCAGCTGTCAACCTTCGGAAGTCAGAGCCAATATACACTTCCAATAAAAATAATAATCTGCTAAACTATTATATAAAACTGGTAGGTAGGTGTAATTCACACTGTTTAAAAACAGAATAGCTTCTCAAATTTAATACTCATATATCTGTCTGTCTGGATTAATTCCATTTCTTAAAAATATTTGGTCTGAAGAGATGAATATAACAATATTCATGAAATAAATTATAACTGATATGGATTTTTAAGGTGTTTTCTTTATTTATCATTATAAATTGCTCTGTAACTTACATTGAGCTCTTGTTGGATTAAAGTCCTCTTTGGAATAACCTCTACCAATTACAAATTAGTATATATTTATAAATATATATAGGGTGTGATGGATAAATTATCGCCATTTTATATTTTTCATTTCGCACATTCACGATGTTTGTTTTTGATTTTGTTGGCTGCAGGTTGACAAAACCAAAAACAAAGGTCAGTTGGGCACCATCTGTGGGGAAAAAGAGCCCCATGATGCTGTACTGCTTGGCATTCGTGCTGGAAGCTTCAATGCAAACATTTCATTGTGTATGTCTCAATCTGAGGGGTCTCATCTGTGACAACACATGCACACTGTGTGTATATCTGTGTGGATAGGGGGAGTGGAGGAGGTGGCAATTATTGGTTCAGAAAATGGAATGTTAGGTTATCTCCAACTTCCAGCCAAGTATGTTACATTCACTTTGTTTTACAGCATATCAACCTATTGGGTCATTTAATGCAGAAATTTAATATTTTTCTAAATAAAATCTTGTATTTAAACATTCAAAAGATTTCATTTTAAATAATAGAACTGCTGTTAGATATGGTTGTATTTTTTTCTTTTATTTATATTTTTGAAATTAGTTTAATTTCCTTTAGAAACTGGAATATGTAAAGTGAATCAGTATTTTGAATAAGTTCTTTTAGGTTTGTTGTTTGGCCATATTTTGAGTGGATTGAATTAAAATTGCTGCAGTTTGTCACTATGTGTTTTATGATGAATTGCTCTTGGAATGCAACACATACTTGAGGATCTTCCTTTTTTTAGAATATATAAATGTTTGGTTTGCTTTACTACATATAAACCCATTGGGTCATTTAACTTTGAGTGGAATGGGGGTAAACTGTTTTTTTTTTTCATACAGGCTCACATTCATTGTCTGCCCTGTGAAAAATGGGATGCATCCTTATAAAAACACTAGTTTTGCAATAACAATTTTTTTTAATTAGTATCATCACAAGCAAGGTAGTAAAGCCACTAAGACACAAGGTGTAGTAAGGTGTGGAAGAATTAGGAACAGAAACATTAATAATAAGCAGGAAGAGGAAAGAGTAATTGGGAAGACAGTAGATAGCAATTGACATTGCATTTAAACTATGTTGGCTGGAAAGCATGGAGTTGGAAGGAAGTTCCACAAGTGAGAAGTGCAAGAAAAGAAACTGTAGCATAGAATTTACGGTTACATCTAGCCAGTTCAACAGTTTAGATCTTGATTGAGTCTATTATTGCACTTAAATTCAAAAAGTCTAGGTACCATTGCAGAGCTCATCCAAAAAATTACCATGAAAGTATTTATAGAAAAGGCACAGAGAAGCAACCATATGGTGATGGGAAAGTGAGTGAAGCCATCCCGCCAGATCAGGGCCAGTAATATTGTTGATTCTTCTTTAGATTTTATCAAGGAGCTCAAAGAAACTAGCAGGGTCACTGGAGTATATATGGTAGCAATATTCTGAGCATGGGTGAATGGTAGTTTTTTATATATATATATATATATATATATATGCTTATTAAGGACATTTTATGGACAGCCTGCACAAATGCATGAGAAACTAATTTCATATTTGAATACATTTATTGTTAATGAGATTTGGGGCAGCTGAGAAAGATTTTCATAATCAGGATTCAGTTTACTTATTGATTGTTGCAAGACAGATTGCAGCTTCACATCTGTTAGCTGAGACAAATTTTTGAATTTGTTAATGAAAATGGAATAAATATTAAATGTATTTGGTTCCATGCTTGTTCTCTTTCTTTCCTGTTTGGAATAGATTACTATTTTGTGTAACATGTAACCTGAAAAAAATACTGAAATCTTTTTTTAATGAACTTTAAAAAAATGTTTGTTGTGCTCTTGTGAGCTGCATAAAATCATCAAACACACTGCATGTGACCCAAGGGCCATTGTTTGCCCAGCCCTTGTATAGAGTTACTTTTGTATTTCAAATTTCAAATAAAATCTTGGGTGAGAAATGCAGTTTTTATTCAAGAATAAAGCAGGCACACACGCACACGCACACACACACACACACACTTGCAGTGTTATTTTACAATGTGACATAACAGTGAATTAATGGGAAATATTAGCCATATCCACAAGTATTATTAGCAGTAGTAGCCATAGTATTATCAACAGTAATATTCACATTGAGAACAATACAACCAACTGACATGTGTGAACAATATACACTTTGAAGTGTTAAAACAAGGCGTTGTTGAAATCCAAGAAGGGATTACAAAGCAAATTTTGTTTTTTAGATTTTTGAAAAATACATTCTACAGAAAGCAAGCAGATCATACTGAATTTGCTTATGTGACCATACACATGTATACACACCCCAAGCTACACCAGAAATGCACAATCACATCTAGGTTTATATTCTAACATAAAAAGTTGCTTTTAGCGACACTGAGCATGAAAAATAGACATTTTTGAAAAGAAGAGTAAAAAAAAAAAAAAGTATTGATTATTACAATGTTTGAAATAGAAATCTTAATGCACCATTTTACCGTTATTTTTTTACTCAAGGGAGGTAATTCATAAGGTTTTCAAGGGAGGTAATTTGTAATTTTTTTCCTCCCCATTAAATATTTAGTATCTGTAAGCTAAACGCATACAGATACTAAATATTGATATTCCTTTTAAGGAAAAATATTAAATTCGTAAAAAATGATGTGGACAATATTTTTAGTTAGATTTTAAATGAGATAAATAAACGAATTCTTTAAAACATCATAAAATGTTTTTCAGTAAATTTTAATTTTGTAGTCCATTCACTAATGAAAAGTAAATACATTTATATAAAAATTGATCAGAAATATGGGTGAACATTTGATTTGGGGCCAAGTACACATTTATGATATACCTCAGGTCTAAGTGAATTTAACTCCCAATGTTTTGCCTAAAAAAAACTGGATCTTAAAAATATTTGAATTTAACATTAATAAAAATGGTATGACCTTTTTTTTTTTAATATCTTGTTTTCTACAGTTTCTATTTTTATTGTTTTGTTTTTACAGGATTGGGAAGGTGCCGTAAGTGTGACTGATATTGGTAACCATCTTAGCCATACTTTTGGAGGTCATTTGAAAGAAAGCAAACCGCAGAAACAAGGTGACCCTCCTCTGTACATTGTTACTGTCAAAAACAGTAGCAACATTGACTTGTTACAGGAAAAGGCAGAAAAATATCTTAGAGAAAGTTTAAGAAATCAAAAGAGTTGACAATAAATCCATGTTAAAATATTTCTTGATTATTTGTTCCCTGTCAAATATGTATATTTCATGCCCAAGTGTATGACGTTATAAGAAAAGCTTATTTGTTAGAATTTCTGAGAGGATTTTGTGACTCAAATGAACACTTGGTATCAGTTTTGTAATGCTTGTTGTAGTAGAGACTTTGTAATTGCAGATACAACTATAATATGCTGTCAAATAATACTGGTGTCTTCGAATAACACTCACACTAATAGTACTTACTCAATACTACTCGCTTGAACAGTAACCACTGTATAGTAACCTGAATAGAGAAATAGTATAGTGAATAGAGTAGAGAATAGTGACCTTTATAGTAATAGAGGATAGACTAGAAATGCAGAAGATCAGTTAGACGTCATGCAACTTCCTACTTATGTGTTGTTTCCTCTATAGTCATGTGGTTTACTTAATTCAAAAATGGGATCGCCTGTGTTTGATCACTGGTGATATCTGTTCAAATTCAAGTGTCGGCAGCTACACTTTATTCCAATATAACAGAGGAACTAGTGTTTTTTCTACATTATTTATATTTGCACTAATGTCCTCATCTTTGTTGTTATCGCTACTTTTCAGTTGTTTTGTCCTCTGGTCTTCATCAGTTCTTGTCAATCCAAGTAACATGAGGGAATTTCAAACTGAACCCTTTATTATTTAAGATATGTCTATATTCTTCCTACTTTATCTAATCTAATATTTTTGCCATCCAGTTAAAAAGGTATTTTGTTTTACAAGTGATTTCCATTTTTTCATACATTTTCTCGTCTTTGTTTTCACATTTTCTTTTAGTTTTTTTTTTCTTACTTCTTATTTCCATATTTTTATTCATCATAAATGATTTCATTTCACAATTGTTGTTTTTTCTTTTAACATTCAGTGATAGAAAAGCATCTGATGAAGACCAGAAGGTATAATGCCTGAAACCTTGTGATGATAAAAGCAAATGAGGAGGATAATAATAGTCTGCATGTAAATCATGTAAATGATAATTCCTCAGTCCAGGAATTTAGGAAGAAATTAGTTTTTTTTTTTTTTTTGTTTTGATTCAAGCATTTCTTTTCAATGTTTCTTTTTTCTTTATCTTAGTTTCTTTTTTTTTTATCCCAGTGTTTCTATTTCCTTCTTCTGAGTTCTTTTTCCTTATCCCAGTGTTTCCTTTATTTTTATCCTAGTGTTTTGTTTCTTTAACCCAGTGTTTCTTTTTCTTTGTACCAGTTGTTACTTTTGTCCCAGTGTTTCTTTTTATTTATCTTTATTCCAGTGTTTCTTTCTTATCTTTATCTGAGTGTTTCTTTTTTTATCTTTATCCCAGTTTTTCTTTTTTTTATCTTTATCCAAATATTTCTTTTTCCTTTATCCCAGGTTTTTTTTTATCTTTATCTCAAGTGTTTCTTTTTCTTTATCCCATACATTTATTCGTCCAACAGCTGCAATGTGTCCTTAAAAGTTTGGTTGAAAAGTGACCAGCGCTTGTCAATGGGAAAAACATTCTTCTTTTTCATGGCAAACAAAGTCCACATACAGCAAATTTGAAAACTTGTTTGCAAATCGGTTCCAGAGAGTAAATTTGAATTCGGTTGGTCTCTTCTACTGCCACCCACCATATTCACCTTATCTGGCATCAGCTGATTATTATCTTTTTGGATTATTGCTAAACAATTTGATGGGGAAAACTTTCTCTAATAAAAACCAAATTTAAACAATCATTGAAAACTTCTTCATGTCAAAACCTGTGGAATTTTAATCAAAGTTTCTCGAAGCAATGCTAGATAAGTGTCTATAAGTTCTTGCAAATAATTGTGAATATATAATTGAATAAAATATAATTGTACTTTATTTTTTGAAGAATTAAAAAAATAACTAACAAAATGTAAAAATATCTGTAAAATAATACTAAATGGTAGTCAGAAATGTGTCTTTGTTCAAGTGCCAAAACTTCTCTGCTCTGAAGATGTGGGGAAAAAGCATGCATTATATGCATATATGAGACCATGAGGTCTGTGCATTGAGAGCACATGGATCTGTGCATGGAAAGTTATGTCTCAGCTGCTGATGGCAATGCAGTATCTGTTATAGCTGTAAAGGTCCATGCAGGAGTGACAGTCTTGAAGATGGTCTCCCCCAGTGTCGTCATGTTGTTTTTCTTCTTTCAAGCATGCTCCACCCCAGTGCCAAGCCTATGTTTTTTCTCTCCTTGCTCCCGGCCTTATTATAAATCACATCTCTGAGATGAGTGATCGTTGACAATATTTTCCCAACCTCAATCTCCATGTCCATTGCCCTCATGTCTCTTTTGCAGATGTTCTTGAAGTGAAAATGAAGTTGTCCTCGTACCCTCTTGCTGGTGGCCAGTTTCCCATTCAGAAAGACCCTCCCATGGGATGCATCAGTAGACTTCAGGGAGTAGAACTGGGCATGATTTTATGAGAGATTGGTGGTTGCCCATGGAGCACATTTTCTGTCTCCACTCCACTAATGTTATCCAAGGGAAAGGTAGATTTCAATACAGCTTGGGCTTGGCACTGTCATTGTCCAGGATTTGCCAGAATGAAGTTGAACATAACATTGGACTGCCTTAGGGACTCCTGCTTCAGATTTGTCCCCAGGGTTTACTTCCAAAGCCTTTCCCATGATTGGGTATGGCTGCAAGGCAGCATAGGTTTAAATTCAGAGTTTTCCTTCTCTTAGATGGACTACCCCACTGAGCTGATGAGTTCCATCTACTGGAAGTGTGTTTTTGTACGTGTGTATCTATCTATCTATCTATCTATCTATCTATCTATCTATCTATCTATCTACAGACATTTTTTTATGTTTATATGTTCTTTTTTATAGATAAAAAAATGTCCTAAAAAATAATTGTCAGACTTTGTCCATTAATGTTTTTTCTGCCATGATTTTTATGGTTCAAGTGTTTACTTTTCCATGTGAGACTGAGTGTTCTTTCGGGGTGTAACACAGTGTAGTAATCAAGATAGATGTGGAGAAAATCACCATGCATATGTAGTCGGCTAGTGACTTGTGGGAGGAAATATTCTACGAATTATCGCATTGTAGCACTTGAGAGTCTCTGCTGTTGCTTTCATCACAGACTGAAGGCATTGCTGTTGTAGTTTCTGATGACTGATTTAAGCTTTCCTGCAGCGGGCTTTGTTGCTTTATGTCACTCTGGTTGGATCTGCCTTCGTGGGTGAAAACAGCAATGACTTTATAGGCAGTGGCTCAGAAAGGCTGTTGTAAGAACCGTTTAGTCTTTTTTCTGATTAATCAAAAAAGATGTTTTATGACTCTGGTATTTTTGGTGGGTGTGCAGAACTAAACGAAATGAAGGCCTTTTTGTCGTATGAGCTATGTCAAAGTGAGCGCTTCTGTTTGAGCAAATTGAAGTTCCGGCAGATACCCATGTTTGAGTAGACGCCTTTTTTTTTTTTTTGTGAATTATTTCTCCAGCAGGGTGTAAACTTGCGTTCCCCATATAATGTAAGTCATTGTTATAAATGCTCCTATGACCAGAACAACTTTCTCTATTATATTCCAGTGTTTTCTGTATTTTCCTTAATTTCTATTACTACCACCCCGACCTCCATCACCACAATTACCACCACTACTACTACAACCGTCCCTACAACTTTCAATATTAGTACCGCCATCACCACCAGCAATACATTTTATTATGTTTATTATAATTTTCTAAACATTCAAAATAATATCCTTTTCACATCCAGTCTTGTAATTATTTCAATCTTTCTGATTAACTGTGAGATACGAGCATCAAAAGTTTTTTAAGTGAGAGATGATGATATGCATGCCAGGAATCTTTTAGCCATAAATGAAATCCGTGTTCCTTTATTTTTGCAATGGAACTAATTTCAGGTTCTAAAATTGCAACGTAGAAAAGCCTTCTTAATTCTTTCAGTTGGGATTGATGTCTCTTGTTTAAAGTAAAAAAAAAAAAAAAATAGTTTACATTCGTAAATAAACCGCATTTATAATTAATCATCAAACACCTCTTTTTGGTTGGAAGAACAATGGCAAATAAAATAAAGCGTTTTTCTTTTATGAGATAACAGCAAAAAGAAATAAATAATAAGGATGTAAGAGTGAAGTTAATTTTGCAGTTTATATGAGGAATTAAGATAATGTTTCCTCTTTAATCTCTGAAGTCTAACCTGCTTTGTCTTCTGGTTGAAAACAATTTAGTCTGAAAACGAGGCTCTCTTTTGAAGTAACGCGTCTTTTTGATCTGGCTGAACTGAAATTACTAATCCATAAATGCAAAGTTTTTTTTTCAGCAATTATGTTCAGAGACTTGTTGCTTATATAAAAAACAACTATGAATAGTATCGACTAAAGCATGTTTTTATTTTTTGACAAATAAATAGGTACCTCCAAAGATTCGCTAAAAAATGCCACCAACTTATTAAAAACTAAGTTTTATCGTCAAAATCTGTCATTATTAAGCGGGACGACGAAAGGATATTTGAAATTTGGTTATTAAATTATATTTTTAATCCTTTTCAAAACCTTCAAAATTTTGGTCAAAATTTTATTTTTCTTGCGTCAACGGATGACCATAAATTACTATGGGAAATTTGAGCGTCTTTTTTCGGTACAAAACATTGATTTGGAAATTCTTGCAAAAATAAGATAATTGTCGGATAATGAAACTTTCAGGACATATTAAAAAATGAATAAAATTATTTTAGAACCGTTTTTTTTAAGAAAATTTATACATATATATATATATATATATATTGGATCGGTTACCCTACATATTTACTTTTATGAAATTTCGAGAAAATTCGTTTTTGTAGGGTTTAATGAGTGTTTATATTACAGTGTAACCCGGATATAAGAGAGTTGTCGGGACCGGAGAAGAAGTATATTATATCCGGGTTTGGTCTATTTTATATACCTTAACACAGGCTCTAATTTGGGACCGGAGAAAATCTCTCTTATATCCGGGTCTCACTGTAGTTATAAACAGAAGTCTTTGGAGAATTTAAATCAATTTTTTTATAAAGCAGTTAAAGAATTTGTAAATTGTAAAATAAAAATGCAATAAAACTGACATTATTTAATTAGAAAAACTTTAATTGCTTTTATGAATAATATATATGGACACTATTGGCAAAAGAAAAAAGTTTTTTCGTTGAATAATGATTTTTTATAAGAATTGTTAACATTTTTTTAAAAAAAATAATTCATAAAGTCTTACATTTTTTTTAAAAATTAATTTGTAGCAGTTCGTTGATATTCTTATTAAGTAAAAACTATATTTGCTAATCATAAATCGAAAAGCTTAAAATTCAGCTAGCCACAGTATTTTAAAAAGAATTTTTCCTTTTATTGTGTATAAACGTGCCTATTTTTGTAAATACGGACGCCCATATTATTAGAAAATAAGAGCGGCAACTTTTGTAAATTTAAAATTTATTGTTATATTCTAACATTTCTTTAATTAGCGTCTTCGTAAGTAAGAAAAGCCAAAGTACCTAAAATTCAATAAAAGACTACTTTCCTAAATTTTTGAGATTACTGGCAGTAACTTCTCATTCTGCTAACAGGTTAGTACGCAGATATCTACACGCGTATGTAATAACATGTTTTAACAAGAGCAAAAACCATTAAAAGATTCCAATTGCGCATAAGAAAAACCAAGGCATTTTATTATTATGCCGAAGTTGACAATCAGTTCTGACTTCTGATACATTCTCTTTCATCTTTTGCCAACAAAAATATAGCCTTGCGATAAGTGAGCGAAGACAGAAGTTGAAATTAAATTCAAAGAACGTGAAGATAAAATCTGTGGTTTCAATAATAGTTAAGATATGTATTTTTAACAAACGATACAAAATTTTTGTCTTTGACGAAGGTGGGAAGTGAAATCTATATTTCTTATTGAACAAGAAATTAGTTGGTGAAAGAAATAAGTCTGGGAACACTCAGTGAGTGTAAGTATGCGTGTGAGCAGTTGACTATCTTTAACAGCACGAGAACCGAACAGACTCGACTCGGTATTAACCACAAAGCGGGATGTGGCACAAGGCCGGTTTTTAACGTGGGGCTTTCCGAGCGCGTACGCTCGGTCGAAAATTCCCGTAGACCCCGCATATAAGGAGTCTGGTGGTTGCCTGTATTTCTCCAGACGAGACTCTGCTCGTAGGCATAGCCTCATCTGAGTTCCTCTCCACCCGAAAGCAGAGAGTCTGACAAGCTGAGCTTTGATAGATTCTGGCTCTACTGGCAGCCAGAATTCCTTATATAAGGGCAAGTCAGATCTAAGGAGCTGTTTTTTTTTTTTTTTTTTTTTTTTGAGTCTTTCTGATTAGCTTATAAATCTAAGAAATGTATTTCTTTTCCACCTAGCACTACTTAATCGGATGTTGCCGACCGAATCCTTAAAGTTCGAATTTGAAGATTTTAGTTCGAAAAAAACCTTTCTTATTGACTCTAAAGAAATTATTCATTAGATTTGAATTTAGATTTATTTCAAAATTAAGAATGTTCAATTATACTTGAATACAAAAAAGCAAGATATTAAAAGCACCCAATTATGCCAAAGAAAACAATTTAAATGAAGTCACAAAGATGTAACGTGATCGTACACAAAAGGAACCTAGTTTTGTATAAAATATGATGAAAACAAATAAAATCATTGAACTATGCTCTAATATTAGAAAGCATGTTTAATAATTAGGCATTATGTCAACAATCCAAGTGGGACATTCTTAATATCTTTTCGTTCTTCTATGTATCGTATCCCTTCTGGACGTAGTTGATCATGACTCTCCACAAATCCCCCTCCTTTGTAGCTCTTAGTAAACTTTGTCTTTTTATTATGTAGGAACATTGTTATTATTATAAATAAAAATAAAATAATAATAATGAAAATAAATAAAATAAAATTTAAACCTCGTTTAAAGTAAATTAGATAAATAAAAAAATAAAATTACTCCTAGCATGCAATAGGGACTATTCCTGCCTGCCGGAAGTATAGAGATACCGCCAAAAAAAAAGTGAGATTCAATCTCTTTGTCCTAGAACTGTCGGGATGACAACAAGTGTGTAACTTTCATCCGCGATAGGACTGGTGATATTACGGAGTAACTTACTCCCTTTTATAACATGAACATTATCGCAATTGCAATGTAAGACACACACACACACACACACACACACACACACACACACACACATACATCAATAAAATTGTATGAAATTATCATACGATTTACCATCTTTTTTATTGTTATTGTGTACGTTTGTTTGTGCTGTTTTTCCTCGTTAACATAAGTCCAAATTTATGACTCCTATGGTGTGAGTGAATACTTCTACAAATTATGGTGACCACCGAATTGTACATGAAAAACATACAAATATACCACAACCATATCTCTTAATTCCTGTTCTGCCAACCTTTCACACAAGCTCGTTTGTAGGTTAGGCACTGTTTTCCCCTGTACCTCTTGCCTTCATTATGTCCTGTGAATGTCAAATTTTCGAACCTCTTTCCTTATTATGTGACCTAGAAATTACAACTGTTTTTTCCTAATTCTAAGTAAAAGTGTCCTTTTTGTTTCCATTTTCTCTAAAACTTTGTCGTTGCTCACATGTTCGGTCCATGGTATTCTCAACATTGAATGCTGTTGCCATATTTGGTCTTGTGCTCCGGCTGCACATATCGCGATTCTTGACAAAATCCCCAAAATTCTGTAATGTAATCGATCCTGACCAGGAGTCTCGACTTCAGTTACTTTCTCACCGACGTGGCATGAGTTCCTTCTGTTTTTTCTACAATTAGTTTCATTGT